GTCACAATATAATCATTTTTCTACTACAATAGGCATAAAACCAGGAGGCGCGCTGTTGGCGATTGTTCGAGTGGGGCAGGATTCCACACGCCAGACAGCAAGGTCCAGAGGCTCGAATTTACGTGGAGAAGAGACCTGAACCAGTGACGCGGGTGCGATAGCAGTGGCAATCGACGGATGTTCGTGCGGCAGCATGAGTGCTTAAGCAAAGTAGTCGCCACGACCCGCGCAGCGTCTCCCTGTGTCTGCATAAACGCCGACCGAATTGTTTGACAACGGGCCAAGCCCCTCTGTGGTTTGGTTCATTCGATTCCAATAACTGGAGCACCTTTTACGAGTTAAATATGCGGGTGTACAGGACGTCGTGGGTTGCGTGGACGAGGTCCAGAAACGGCGACGATTGGTGTGCATCGGCGAGGGGCCGATCCTTCTTGGCATTGAGAATGGATTCGGCTAGCGGCGCCATTTGCGCGAGCGTTTTCGCAGACTCGAGAGGGCCGATCACGTTGAGCCGAGTGGCGGCGCTTAGGAGGTCCCGCAGAGTCACGAACAAGAGCAGGCGCTGAGTCGTTGTTGCGTCGATATCGAGAGATGCGCACACAACGCCCAGTACGACGACGTGATGGCCATGGACTTTCTCGCGCTTGATGCGGTGGAGAACGGATGAAGGCGGAGCAGACGTGCATGCAACACGGAGCATCGCACAGCCCTGAGCAATTGACGCACGTGCAGCAACGTGGTTGGTGAGCATGGCATGTGCATGACTGTCGAGGTGGAGAAAGGAATCGACGGACGATGCAGAAGAGTGGGCTGAAAACACGAGAGGCAGCAACAAGTTGGCCGTTTGATGCAAAGATGTCACAAGAAATGAGTGAAGAGTGGCTCTGTTTGTGACGACCTTGGCTTGAACGGCCGCCTCGAGGCCCTGGGAAGGAGTCCAGGACCGCTCAGGGATTTGAGCAGGGACTACGTACCTGTGAATGCGCGAACCCGCCCGTAGGGTACATGGAGTCTGCCAACTGCCACACATGCCACTCCATCCCCAATAGTCCACTTGAAGTGCAGTTCGAGTTGTCCACACTGTTTTCTGCCGTAACGCCAAAAACCCGATGGAAGCAATTGGTCCCTGGTTCGATCCGCCCTGCAGGCATTTTATTTTTCACTAGTCTCACACATCGACAAACCAAAGGGCGTCTGCCATGCGCGACGTCAATGCGTGGTGAAGCAAGCACTTGATGCCCAAGCGAGGGGTATGTCGATTCGCCGTTTCTACAACCTCCGACAGAGTACCAGACGCTTGAGGATCGACCACCTTGAAGCGCTGAAGCCACGTTTTCCTCTCCCCGCACCTTTGACGTCGGAATCAATCGCGCTTGGTCCATGTCACTATTCAATCTGTAGTACTTACTGTCTGTAGCCGTGTGGCCAAAATGCGAGCAAAGCCCGCACTTACCGCACTGTACATGGACTTTTATTAGTACTACTAATAGTACCAGCCCAAGTAAAAATCCTCAGCCAATCAGATCTCCAAAGCCCTCTTTTCACCCAAACAGATCTTGCTCGGTTTTGTTACATGTTACTGTTTTGCCTGTCAGCCCTCCTTTCTCAAGGTCGAGTCGGTCGGCTCTGGACGAGTAGAATACCACGGCCGGCTACGAACGCCCGGCGTGGGCGACAACGAACAGCACTCAGTCAAGTAGCGGTCCGCTTGGTGGTACAATCCACCCAGGCGTGCGTCCATGTCCATGGTTTCTGCGCCAAGTTCAAATTTCATGCAAACAGATGCGCGAAACTTCCGTCGCAAACACACCCAGGTACGGTGCTTTCCATGGCGCCAAGCGTCCAGCGGAGGTGCCTGACTAGTTAGTGGCAGCACAATGCAGACGTATTTCAGTGGGACGTGGGGAATATACCACAGCATCTTTCGCACGAGGATACAAACGCAGGCTTTGCTCCAACTCCTCCCCAACTTAAAACAGTGTAACGGCGACATGTTCGGTTACCGGTATCCGGCGTCGGCTCGTGTGGATTTCGTGCTGACCAGAGTTTGCACTTAAAACCCAAAAACCTGCCGGACATGATGTCGACCGCGCGACCTGAATGGACCACTCGCCCGGACGCTGCTGACACTTCGCGCGACGAAAATTCGTGCTCCACCACGACGCCGCAATGGAATGAACTGCACTGCACGACGATGCCACCTTCCGCCGACGACAGCAACTGCAACGAGTGTGTCCCTCTGCTTAGTTCACACGCTAGTGCGAGTCCATCAAACTCTACCAAGTCCCAACTGAATTTTATCCTGGCGAATTCAGAGGCTATTGCCTCAACACGGATGCCACAATCTCCTGCGACAACTGCAATACAAGCCGCCCCCGTGAAGCGTGGTCGCGGACGGCCTCGAAAACATCCCCTGCCACCGCCTGCCATCCCCCCCACAGGTTCTGCCCCCAACGGGTGGTCGCTCTCTATCATGCTACCGCGTGAAAATGGAACAACTCCTCCTCCTCCTGCTGCTGCAAACTTCATAGTTCCCATGAAGAGTTTGGGTGCACCACGGGGGCGTGGTAGGCCACGGAAGGTTCCGCTAGACCCCTCGCTGCCGCCTGTCCTGCCGCGGTACGTCCAATTCGCCGTCACACAGCAGTGACGCCATGCTCAAACCATGCGAATGTCATGCTCGCCAAACAGGCGTCGAGTGGTCCAACCAGCTCGAAGCCACCGTCCAGCACGAGTGAGAAAGACGACTGCGATCTTTTCACCTAGTGGAGGCAATCGTCCGAGCAAACCTCGAGGCGCAGCAGCGTCTGGTGTTCGTCGTGGCCGAGGTCGGCCCCGCTCGGGAAATTCAATCCCAGTCGCCCCAGTCAATCCGCACGTGCATCGGATCGTACGTCGCGTTCGGAATCGAGTAAGCCGCAGTGAGCCATCGATCATGGCTCCTCATGCATCGTACAACATCTAGGTGAGCGCAATGCGTATCAACATGGCATTCGTGGATGCGTACGAGCAGACTGGGTGGCGCCAGGCGAGCACTGAGAAGCTGAAACCAACCGCCGAACTCGAGGCGGTGCGGCAGAAGCTGGTGCGGCACCAGCGGGCGCTGCTTCGGGAACTTCATGATTTCGACGCCGTGTTTGCGTCGGATACACCGCTGCCCAAAGACGCGAGCGAACTCGACGACGACGATGATATTTTGTGCTCCAAGTGCCAATCCACGGTCACCTCGGATGGCAATGACATTGTTCTGTGCGACTGCGGCACCTGCCACCGGTACGGCGGGAATAAAGTCACGTGGCATTGCCGTCATGCTGTTGTATGCTGGTAGAGCGTACCATCAGCAGTGCTTGGATCCGGTGCTGGCGACGCTCCCAGCCGAAGAGGACGAATGGTACTGCCCCCGCTGCGACGGCATTTTCCAGTGCCTCGTGGTGCTCAACGCTGCCTTCGGATCGACGTGGGAATCGTTGCCAGAGGTACGCTACCCTCATCACGGTGGCAGCAATGCTCGGTCGTCAACGATGCTGTGCCTTCCAACCTCTTTTTATCGAGCGCTGATGACTGCAATGCAGGTGTTTCCAGACCTGCGTGCTCAAGACGGAGGGCGTTTGACGGAAGGAGCGTCGACAGCAGCGCCGCACCTCAACGATGACAACGAGTCGGACGAAGACTTTGACAAGGTATGCCGTTGTCAAACATCGTCGTGGCCAAGATTCCTTGAATAGTCGAGTGTTGAGAACGACGAGGGCGATGATGACGATATGCTGTCGGACGAAGAGGACGTCAGCGACGGAGAAGTGGAGCATCACATTGCTACAACTGATGTTGTCAACTCGACCCACCGGTCGACGCGGTCGCAACTTGCCGTTCACGACCAGGACATCGATGTTGACGATGAGAGCGAAGACGAGGACGCCACGAAGCTGATTGTGCACGGCAAACGCCGGCGGACGGCCGTGGATTATCGCAAATTGCACGGCGAAATGTTTGCCACGGCCGACGACGACGACGATGACAAGGACGAATATGTGCCGCGGAACACGACCGAAGACGATGTGGATTAGTAGGATGGAAACGATGGGTCAATGAGACGGTTCCAAGCCACGAGGCCGCCCTTGACATGCCAAATGTCGGTCGTACGACCCGCAGCGACCAACTGGTGGACGGCGTGTGTCGAGTCGATGCCACGGCGGCAAATCACAGCCACTAGAAACGATTTTCATTGCCGGAATAGACACGAGCGGTTCCGCACCTGGGGCGGTGGACGCCACGAGGGACGGCAATTGGGTGAATAGGTCAGCAAGGGGGACATTTCTGGACGGCATGAGGTGGCAAATGTCGTACTGCACGCGCTCTCGAACGTCGACGACGACAAGTTTTGGGTTGGTTTTGAGCATGGATGCCAGTTCCTTGAGGGGATGCACTCCCAGTTAGTATTGTCAGAGATGAATTTGTAGCAAAACCTCGACTGACATAGTATGCGAAGGATCGACGACGGAAGGGAGCTCGCAGACTAGTGGCCCGACGGACGCGGCTGAATCCATCGCACTTCTTATGGTTGGTGAAGTGCCGCAAACTGCGCAATCATCGCGTTTCGATGGAAGCTAAACGGGGCAAGACAGCTTGAGTGATCAAGAGAGATGTGGGGCCCATACCTTAAAGTGGCGGAAGGCCATGTCCCATGCATCAAACGAGCATTGGACGCCACTCAATGGCCGGCCGAGGCCCGACACGACTTTGACCGCCTACAGAGAGAATGCATCACCAGGCGACAGTCCAAGAGCGGGCACCTCCATCGCTTGCAGTGAGCCGATGATTCCTGGGACGACCCCCAGCACCCCTTGGTCCGAACACGAGCCAGCCTTGTCATTCAATTACAAGGGATTGCATTGCAGTCGTATTCCATCACCATGGTCTGGGGCATGGGTGTGGGGAAGCAGCATCGATAACACGGCCCGCCGTGGAAGTTGAAGACGGACACTTGTCCTTCCAACCCCAGTGCACTTCCACTCACGAGCGGCTTGTGCAACAAGCAGCACATGTCGTTCACCAAGTACCGCGTGGCCACGTTGTCTGAAGCATCAACGACCACATCGTAGGACTCCATGATGGCAACAGCATTGGATGCGTCCATGCGGACAGGAAACACCTCGACTTGAATGGACGGCGATCGCAGCAGGACTGCGGCTCGTGCACTCTCGACCTTGAGCTGACCAACTTTGGCAGGGGTGTGCAACACCTGCCGATGGAGGTTGCTCAAATCGACGTAGTCGCCATCGACAATGCCAAGGTGCCCGACGCCCATTCCACTTAAGTAGAGGAGAACTGGGCAACCGAGGCCACCCGCACCAACGACTAGAAGTTATTGTTAGTATTCTGCAATCTCAATGCACATGTTTGATTGACGTACCCAACACTCTGCACTCGAGGAGCTTCTTCTGACATTTCACGCCAAAGTCCTTGACCAGAAGCTGGCGGCTGTAGAGCTCGACGTCTGCGGATGGAAGCGCCGCGAACGAACTTGCCATCCTTCGAGTCCAATTCGAAATGGCCAATCAAATGCGGCAAGAGCATTTCGCTCGGACCAATGACAGCACACGCGTTTAAACGTTTAACGTGATTTTTCTTGCGTTAAAATCGTTTAGCGTGGCAGTCAAATTCCACGTTACTTCCGCGGGTGTCCCAACCGCAGGACGGACCTTCCGCCGAATGCAAGAGATGGGTCGCCCTGCCAGCGACTCTGGGAGTAGTCCACGATCAAGATTGAGTGTGCATGCAGTAGAACGAGATCTGTCGTCAATGTCAGCCTTGCCAACTCCGCGGGGCATTGGGAGCACACTCAACGTTTGCGTAGAAGGCAAGTTCCTCGGGATCCTCATGTCCGGCATGGTGGAGAAACGTCGCGAAGGAGCTGTGCGGGCAGGTTTTGCCCGGCGCCTTTTCCTGCTGAGCGTTCGGGGTTGTCATTACTACCGCAAGGCAGACGATTCCGAGATCTTTGGTACGGAGCGAGGCTATCTTGCCTTGCGCGATTTTGGCTACGCAAAGGTTGTGCCTGAAAACGAAGCGCCGTACGGAACGGTGGAACCCGGCGTTGATGGCCATTACTTTGTTGGATTGTTCTCCAAGCAGCACACGCTCACGTGGTTCCTCCGCGTTGACTCGATGGACTCTGCGAAGAACTGGGTGACCGCCATCGGTGCCGCGCAAGAAATAGCCAAGAAGAACATGTACCCCATCGAGTGGACGTCGACAATGTACAACACATTCAATTCCATCTTCACGGGGTACGTTCCATGTTGGTTACTCATTGTCCACGATACTTTATTTCTTCAAGTAGTCATCCGCATCCTCCCGCAACCGACAATGCCGCCGCCTCAGTTGCCGCATTGCATTCCAGTCACCGCGACAACGAGTCTACATTAGTTTTGGTAAACTTCTACCTCTTCATTTTATCGTTAATCTCTTCGAAAATAGGAACTCCCGACAGTACTCGCCATCTCGATTGAGCAGCCTTTGTCCTCCCAGCACGACGCGAATCAACAACTTCGCCGAGAGCGCCTCGTTTGCCGCAAAGTGCAGTTGAACCAAGCATACATCCTCGGCAAGACGCTCACCTTGGACGAAACGCTAACGGTCGTGTTGTCCAACCAGCAATCGGTCACGCATTCGCTTCGGTCCCTGCGCAATGCACCGTCGGCCTCAGCCGCAATTCCCATTGCTTTGACGACATCCTCGTTTCGCATTCAAGGTACGGCAGGCACCTCAGATTTATTGGTAACGTCTTCCTTGCAGCGTCTCTTTCCGTGACCAAGTCGCTGAACCCGGCGGCCCCTACAACCCCGCTGTCCCCATCGTCATCGGCGCAGTCGTTTTCCCGCGACCTCCTTCCCACTGCGCCGTACAATGCCGCGGCGTTGGGCTTCAGTGGCCTGTATATTCTCAGCTGCGTCCTCGCGTATGGATTCGGGCCGCCGTTTCAAGGACTCATGCAAATCACTGTCATTTTGGGCGCATTTTTGTCTGCGTCGGTGGTGGCATCGGCGGTGCTACGTTACCAAGAGCTGTCTCAAATCAAAGCCGCCCAAGCAGCTAACGCAAGTTCGTCGTCTGCATCGGCTTTCAGCGCGTTGTTTGTTGTCACATTCACCATCACCAAGATCGAACCAGTGACGCCTGCTGCTTCCGAAGTCCCACAGGACATGGAAAGTAGTGCTGCTCCCGCTGCCGCCCCCACAAGTGCCCCTGCAGCGACCCCCCCGCAACTTGCCTTCTCTCCGCGCTTTATCGCCGCCGAAAAAGGCAACGTCGAGAAGGGCCGTGCGCGGTACGAAAGCACTTTGCAGTGGCGCCGAGAGAACAACGTGGACGGCATGCTGCAGGAACCCCAACCTCATTTTCATCTCATCAAGAAGTACTACCCGCAATACTTCCACGGGAAATCGATCAAGGTATTGTGCCCTGATCATCCACGTGTGTGCTGCAGCATCTCACCATGAGCATGGCACAGGGCCATTGTGTGTACTACGAAAAGGTGGGCAAGATCGACCTGAAGGCGATGAAGGCCGCCGGGCTCACAATTGACCAACTGCTGCGCCATTACGTGTACTTGACCGAATACATGTGGACGATCCTCGAGCCGTCGGACTCTGGGCGCAGCGTCACCGTGCTGGACGTGAACGGCATTGGCTTTTACGACTTGGCTGGGGACGTCCTCTTGTTTGTGCGGCAAGCGACAGGGTTCGTGTCGGCCAACTACCCCGAGCGAAGCGCGCAAATCTTCATCGTGAACGTGCCAACGTGGTTCAACATGGTGTGGAGCGTCGTGAGTCCCATGATTGATCCAGTGACGAAGGAGAAGATCCGGATTTGCAAAGGTCGCGCGGTCAAAGAGGAACTGCTCAAGTCGATTGCGGAAGATCAGTTGCCGGCGGACTACGGCGGTTCGAGCGTGAAATTGGGCGAATCGGACGAGGAAGTTGCGTTGGCCAAGTATGTGGACCAAGCCCTGGCAGCATCAGGCCATCCCAACTAATCCGTTGAATGTGAAAACGTACATCGATGACGTGGCAGTCGGAGAGCACACAACGTCCTTTTCTGTTGACGAATCAGAGCGCGGTATATGCGGACGATTTCGGATATCGAAGATTAACTTCCTGAAAACGAATGCAAAGGGGGTACAAATGATGGCAAGAGACACATTATGGTGAAGACGCCGACTTCTGACTGGCCAGAGGTGATAAAGTGACATGAACGGGTGTCTCGCTTCACCTGAAAAAACGAACACTCGTTCCATCTCCGCACCAGAAATGCGGGGAAATTCGACAAGAATGACGCCATCGAGACACAATCGAATCGCCCTTCGGAAGGAGAGCGATGACTGCCGCCGACGGAGCGCTGCTGAATCATGTAAACACCATCGTGAAGGCGGAAGTATCAGAGATCCCATTCTCACCTCGGTTCATCGCTGCCGAGAAGGGAAATGCAGAGAAAGGACGTCAACGATACGAATCAACGCTCAGTTGGCGCAGGGACAATCGCATTGACACGCTCATCGACGAACCCCAAGTGCATTTCCACTTGATCAAGAAGAATTACCCTCAGTACTTCCATGGCAAATCCAAAAATGTACGTGTCCATGGTCGACCATCAGACCCCTCATGGACGTGTATAGGGCCACCGCGTGTACTACGAGAAGCTCGGGTCCGTCAACTTCAAGGCGCTCAAGAAGTCGGGATTGAGCATGGACCAACTCCTGCGGCACTACATGTACATCACAGAATACTTGTGGAAAGTCCTCGACCCATCGGACAACGGGAGGTCGATCACCGTGTTTGACGTGGAAAACTTTGGGTTCTACGACCTCACGGGCGACGTGACCTCTTTCATCCGGCAAGCGATGGCATTTGCAGGAGAGCATTACCCCGAACGAAGTGCGCAGATCTATGTTATCAACGTACCCGCGTGGTTCCACATCACCTACCGAGCCATGAGCGCTATGATTGACCCCGTCACGAAGGCTAAGATCCGCGTTTGCACTTCGGGCGCTGCAACAGAGGAGCTACTTGCGTCAATCGACGCAGACCAACTTCCATCCAGTACGTGAATGATTCCATGTCCAATTTTCTCTGATGTGGCGCTATCCTGTAGACTACGGAGGCACGAGCTGTGCATTGGGAGAGTCCGACGAAGAAAAAATGCTGGCCAAGCACGTGAACGACCGTCTCAGTGCGACTGCCAACTAGACAAAGAACTCGATTACCATCATCATCAGTGGTTACCCCATCCTGGACCATATAAATTCTTCGTCATATCGAACAAACGGGTAGGTTGATGCTGTGGAGAATTCTTCGACGGCGCGGCGACGGTGTGACTTTCTCCGACAACACCATGGACGGTGTTCGTGTCTCGAGTGACGACATGGGTGTAATATCCTCTCGTTCACTTGTGCGATGCTGGTGCAGAGCAGGGTTGGTTAGTCTGGTGGTTATTGTCGGCTTCGGTGGACGCGCTGGGATTTGTTGGACTGCGAGCGCTTTCCACTTGGACTCATCGTTGTCATCGAGTACGAAGTGACGACTCCGAAATGCAAGCCCGACGCTGCGGTTGCGTTTGCCTAACCGGAGTGGTTTCTCCCGCGTGAGCCTTCTAACTTGATCCAGAGTGGGCGTTTTGACAGCCACGGACAAGTCCCGCCGCAGGTTATCTGGTTGTAATGGAGGCGCTGCGGTGACGTTGAGTTGCTGCCGGCAAGCTTCGGCTGCAACGTCGACGGCATGAAGGCGGTCGATGTGATCCAATACAGCATCAAGGGACACGAGAAACGAGGTGTGCTGCGATGTTGAATGCGGAGCGCGTCGTTCTTGCCAGTGGTCGAATTCGTGGGATTCCAGCGGAAGGTTGTAATAGTGGTGGGCGTATAACCTGTACCCGTCATCATTTGTGAGGTGCTCGCATTCGGCCGAACGGTTCAATTCCATTTTTTCCGTCGCGGCAAGGCAATGTGCATGAATGGCCTCACGAACCTCGTCCACGACTGAGTGGTTCTCGGCAAAGAGCTTCCTCGCGTCTTGAACTGGATGGGGGTTGGATGTGAAGATCCCGTCAACGCCAAGGAGTACGAAAGCAAGCTGCTCGCGGACAGGGCCGCTGGTCGCACCAAGGATGGTTGTTGTGACGTTTTCGGAGCTGTTGGCATTCACGAATACGCGCAAACCGACATCGTGATACAAGTCGACCACCGACACGAGATCGATGGGGCCCATGCGGTGGGCAATTGGCGACGGACACGCAATAAACTCGTGATTTTTTTGAAGCAGAATGCCGTCAGCAAACCGGGCAAAGATTTTGGCATGGCGACGAACGTCCATGGCGTTTTGGAAAGTTGTCACGACTGGCAGGACGAACACGTAGTCCCATGCAGGCTGCATCTTGCGCAGAATTTGGAGCAACGTTGCGTCCCGTGATACGATTGTAAGCTTTGTGAGCAAAGTCGGGTGGTTGAGCGCTGCAATCGCGCCATTCAGCACTCGCCACCACCTCTGAATGTCCAAAGGCGAGTAGTTCACAAAGGTCGGGGAGTCTTCGTCTGGAAAAGTGAAGGTCACGTGGAGCGGAGGAACAACTGCGCCTGCTTTTGCCGAGCTATAATTCGACGGATGAAGGACTTGCCGTTGGCGCTCGAATATTTCCGCGATGCGTTTCAGCGCAGTGTACAGAGTCAGTAGTCGGTTGTGGCTGCTGGACGAGCTGCCAGGGATAAGGCGTGGCGACTTGACCACGTGGCGGCTTTGATAAGCATGTAAGATCGTGAGCGACTTGAGTTCGTGCAGCGTGAGTCGTGGAATGTGCACTTGAGCAATTTCGTGGTGTTGGTTGGGAAGGCGGTGTTTTTTTCGCGTGGGCGAGTAAAACAGCGACGGAAACACTTCGACCACGTCCGTCATGTCGTTCAGGCACGACCGAGGAAACACAATCGGGTGATCGTCTCTGGACAAGTTGATGCCGAGCACGATCGACTCGACGTGTTCGTTGATGGCAAACGAAATGTATTCTTCCGTGTCGGAGATGAAATCGACGTGTGGGACGGGAGACTTCATGGCATAAATAGCCACGGCGACATTGCGGACGTTGTGGATGACAGAGCGCAGGCCGCCTTCGTGGCTAGCTTTCGAGCGGGCTACGGCGCCAGGGATATACAATTGGATAAACTGGTGGGCGACCATCGGCCCGGCACTCACCCATTTCAATGCGATCGATCCAGCGCTACCGCTCGGTGTCTTCTTGAAGAGATTCAACGACGTGCCATGGTCGGGATCAAATACACGAGACAAGAGGTCGAACACGAGGCTGTTGCATTCGGGGTACCCGTCGTACGACAAGACGTGTTTGGTTTTCATGCATGATACGAACGGGTACATGGAACCAGGGATCGGTAAGCTGGACACCGCGCGGATTGTCGGGTGCGACAATGAAGCAACGTACTCGCCGTGCAATGTGTGGAGACTGCGCACCCTCGTGAGCACTTGCTTGAAGCCAGTGGTCACCTTTTCTTCGAGAACGTTGTTGGCACGCTGCCACGTCGAACGTCGTACGATGCGACCACCCAACGCTTCGGCCAAAACGACGTGGCCCCGTCCGAGTGCTCCTACCGGTCGATCTTGCGCCACCAACGCTCGAACAAAGTCGACGAGGGCAGTGTACCACGGGGCCGACCTGTGGGCTATGTGGTCGGCGACGGCATGAGACACGTCCGGCGCCCCGCAGACGAAGAATCCGTCAAAACACCGTTGCATGGCTTGGGTGGGGAAATCGAGGCTCGCAACGTCGAAGATGGTCCACTCAAACACAACGTTGGCGTCCACTGCGTGCTTGGCAAAATAGCGCTGGTACATCAGGCCAAAGTGCGATCCAAATGGATTCGGACATAGCAACATTGCGACGTGTAAGACAATGTGGTGGTCATGGCGATGATCTGATGATGGCGGGCGCTTCAGGGCGCTGAAGACGGGCCGGCGAGGGAGAGCTTGCATTTCCAGCATCCATGTTGCGCGGGAAATGGCGTGGTCAATGATGCTCGACACATAGTCGTCGATTAATTCTCTCGGCAAGTGGAGATTGTGCGGCTTGGGATGAGGAGCGAATGCTGAGGGAAAATAATCTGGTTCTTCGCATGCATACTCCTGCTGGATGTGGGCAGCTTTCACGTCCGACATGCGGCGCTGGCGTTGTCGACGAGCAAGTTGTTGCGAAAAGTATGCCCATCGATGCTGTACCTGCTCGAATCGTGTTTGCTTTAGGTGCAACTAGTAACCATGTCCATGAGTCGTCGCGAGCGCATGCAGAGCGATGACGAACTTGACGTTTGCGCCGTGCAACATCAGCTTGCTGTTGCTGCAAGGATTCGGCAGCAATGCGGCGCTGGTTTTCCCGACTTTGACTCACGCGAATCTCCAGGTGGGCGCTGTACGCTGCGACCTAGGGGCGTTGTGTGAGTTCAGTTTCAGCTATACACCAGTATTTGAAACTCTCGGTTGGATTGTACCTCCTTTTCGAGCAGCTCCATGTCTCGAGGGGTTGAAGGGAGTTGCGCTGCGACGGAGTCGCGCAACGAGAAGGGGGGTAGTTCGAGCTTTGGCAGTACAGACAAAGTCCGAAACCGTGCATTGAACCACTTGGTTTGGATGAAACGAGCGCGTGCCTGTAATTTTGCTTGGGACACCTCGCGTTGTGCATGCAATGCTTGAAAGTCGCTTGCAATCGATGGGTTGTGCAGGTTGCTGGCAAGGTAGTTGATGCCAGCAGTTGCAAGCGCGACCGTCTCGTCCATCATGCGTTGGCTAGGTCATGGTGAGTGGACCGAAAACCCCGCACAATACCTGACGGTGACGTTTGTCGCTTGTGTAATTGCCTGGGAAACGAGCGTGATTGAGCTGCACTGCAAAAATGGAGGAAGCTCATCCACTATTTGCTGAATAAACGGTTGCATCTTGGATTCTGCAATGCTTAGCTCAAGAATTGCCGCATCGTGGTTCGAGTCGGTTGTCGTCGTCACGTCCATGACCGGAGAGGGATCGTATATGGCACGGGCGTTTCGTCGGTTTCATCACTTCTTCCCGCCCTTCCCATCCCTGCCTTCCTTCGCCAAACCACACGGACTTGGCCTGTTGAGGGTGGATTGTGTCGAAGCGGCCGTCGATCTCACTTGGGGAGGCTCTCCTGCGTTGGCACCACTTGGGCAACTCATACCACGGCGTCGAATCCTTATCAGCATAGCTAGCTGACTGTTGCAGTCGTATAGCGTTTTTGTCCCGCAGAATCCTTGGACACCTACAGGGCATGCGTTCCATTCGAGGGAAGTCTGGCGCGGCCCTTCCATCGTGTCGTTCATGAAATTTCGTGCGAATGTTCATTTTTCACACAATCATCCGGATATTGCATGGGAGCCGGATACTGCGGTTGGTTCTGTCAATTGGGATTTGGCCATGTCGAGTGCGTTGGAAGAAGCGGTGTCCTTGATCGCCAGCCAGTCGCCACTCCTCTCGGCGGAGGGCCTCAACAAGCTCAATCAGCTCACCTTCAATGCACGTACGTCCTCGACATGAATGCGACCATCTTCTCCAACGAACACGACCAATTTCTGTGTAGCGCATATGAAGGTTTATGCAGGACAGATTGGGGCCATTGCTGCCATTGTAGATGCCATGAACCGGTCGCAAGAGAATGGGTCAATCCAAGAAGATGGATGTCGCACTCTTCGCACAGTTGCTTTTCATTGTGGTGCGCTCTTGTCGATTGTCCTTGAGTTCCAGTCCTCACGACACACGATGCGGTTAGAGGCAAATTTGAACCTGGTGCAACATCAAGGAGCTATTGATGCCGTCGCGACGGCTTTGCGGTTGCACGGGGCGAATGAAGCAGTAGTCGCGGAAGGGTTTTGGGCACTGGTTGTCTTCTGCGCCAACCACCGTATACCTCTTCACCATTGGGAATCACACTGACCTGAGTTTGACGTAGTTGGAAACACCCTGGTGGCAAAGGGTCTGGTAAACGTGTCGGAAGTCATGGCTGCCCATGCGACGAACGCGGAGATTCAGAAGAAGGGAACGTTCCTCAACGTGATATTTGCTTAAGACGCTATGTTTCGAACACAAAAGATGCCCATCGGTCGCTCTACATCGTCCCGTAATGCGTCGTGGTTGTGACGGCTGCGAATTTCCCGTAAGCTGGGTGCTTCATGGGCAGGTGCAATCGAAACACTTCGACGACCATGAGAATCGCAGACACGAGCGCAAAGGTGGCGCCGACCTGGAACGAATTCATCGTGCCTTCGTCCGAGAAGACCAGGTTGAACGGATCAATGAACTGTCCAATGGAGCACATAAATAGGAAGATGACGGCCACACAGTTCGTGCCTAGTACATGAACATGGTAAGAGCCTAAAACGATCAATGGATTGAAACCTACGCACCAGTGACCCAGAATTCAAGCTTTTGCAGCCGGCAGACAAACCACCGATGGATCACCTCGACATGCGCGAGGTAAGCGCCGACAGTGAGCGCAAAGTAGCCCACGAGGCTGGGGACCCAATGGCCCCAAAAGATGCGCGGGTCACCTCTCGAAAGGTGGACAACGCCATAGACGACCTTGGCGCGGTAGATGTAGCCTCGAGCACAAACCAACAGGAACCAGCCGAGAACATGCAGGAGCGCGCTCCAGTAGTCGATGCGGTAAGGCGAAAACCCCAGCCATTTCATCTTGCGGATCGGTGGATCTGCGTGGACGTACTCGTGTAACCATCGCTTCACGCGAAAATGAGCCAGAGTATGGCGGAGTGATGATGTGTATCGCCGTACCTCGAGGTCGTGGCAGCAGTTGATCACCTCTAAGTACGTGAGGAGTTGCGCGACAAAGAACGACAATGCGCCGACAAAGTAGGGTAAATCGATCCACCGGTGGAGGTAGTCAAGGGGAAGGGGGGTCTCGTTGGAGTCGGAGTTGGCGGCAGCCGCCGCTTTAGCGAACACTGTCTCGTCGTAGCTCCCATACAAGAACAGTCCCGCACCGAGAGCGGAAAACCACGCTGACCAGAGACTCCAGGAGATAATGACCCAGGTTGAATCGGATGAGAACGCCAGATGAAGTGTGTGAAACGTCTTGCGATGCGCGCGGGAACTCCACAGCACTCGTGTGTCGTCGTGCACCGAGTAAAAGTCAATGAGCGTCGGCCAGAACGAGTCGACGCCGTAGAAAATTGGTTTCGCCCGTTCGCGTCGAGGCATCAACAATGTTTGCGACGGATACCTCGTCAGATGCGCCTTGGTCGATGCACCCGACTCGTCCATCGTCGTGGCGGCGAGTATTGTCGTGGCTTGACGGAGTGGCAATCCAGTGCGTTCAACCATATCCGGAACCTCATCCGGAAGGCAAGGACTCGTGAATCTCATCCCCGGTGTATATGATGACGTGCCGTCGGTCGATGGCACGGTCGGAACGCCTCAATGCATTTATGCAAGCGGACTTGATTTTCTCATCGCTCTTGATCTCATCATGCGAGCATCGCGGCTCATGGGTGCACGCACGCGTTCACCGGAAAAGGACGCATCCAACCTACTAGGCTCTGTTCAATCAAATATCTGTACGCGACACGTGCACCAGTACGCTCAACAAGTCGTCGCGCCTGCTCTGGCGCTGTACCATACTACCGCAGAGCGCACTCTAACACGTTTCACCTTTGCGTGGTCAGGATGCCGATGCTTTTGTGTTGGGCAGCACGTGTAGAGCTGCGGCCGAAGATGTCCGTTGCTTCCTCTGGGATTCGTCGATGAGTAAGGACTCCTGCCTTCCGGTGGTGGTCAACCACACCATGACTTGCGCAACAGGCCAAGATAGTATGGAAATGGTACCCACTGGACCCCGCGACGACGCTCGTTTGGTTCCTCCAACTCCCTGCACATACCGTCGCATCGAGAACTTCCTGGATTCTGTGACATGCACTCTCAGCCAGGTTGAGTCGAGCGAACATTAGAATGTCAACGACAAGCGCGGGCGACAGCAAAATATCTCGTCGGCGGATGGCAATGCATGTTGGTGGCAAATTGCAACGAAAGCGGTATGGACGGGGAGTCGGTTGCGAGAATCGGTACCTAGTCACACTACGGGAGCCTACGCGTAAGACTAACATCGCTTTCATTGCATCGTCGTGCCATTCTCCCCCACTGATACCATTGAACCCATGCGGACCTGACGACGGCGCGTGGTTGCGCCTTGTTGAACTGGTTGAGGCTCGACGCCAAAACGTGCATGTGGAGTGGCCAAAGTCTCTCGCTCCCCAACCACACGACGACCAACTGCAGGGATGTTCCATTCGAATGTGTGGCGATTTCTTCGGGCCAAGGTGGTATGCCTATGGAAGATCCACCCGGGCCAATCGAAGCCCGCCGTACTCGTGTTCGATTTCGATCGTCGCGGAATTTGGGGCAGCCATGAGCGCGCTCATTGCGCAACTGCACGCCACCGCACGCAACACCGTCTAGAAATGCTACATCGCCTCGTTCGTTCTCGCAGCGCTGCCGCGCGCGCTTCTTTCTCCATCCATACCACGTCGCAGCAAGCTGCCGGCCCCACAGCGGGGAAAGGTGCTTCGTCTTGCGTTGTCAACTCGCACAACGAATGGGACCCACTTGAAGAAGTAATTGTCGGGCGCATCGAAGGCTCCACCATTCCGGAATGGCACGTGTCCGGGAAAGCAGTGTGGCCATCACGATACTGGGACATGTATAAAACCCAGGCGGGTCAGCCTTTTCCCGTTGACCTGATGAAGGCTGCGGCGACGGAACTGGACTACCTCGCTCACGTTCTTGAGGGTGAAGGTGTCAAAGTCCGCCGCCCCGAGTTCAACCCCGACGACTTCAAGACCCCCGTCCAAACACCCGACTTCAAGAGTCTGGGAGGTCTCTACGCCGCCATGCCCCGCGATGTGCTCATTGTTGTGGGCAATGAAATCATCGAAGCTCCGATGGCATGGCGATCTCGATACTTCGAATTCCGTCCGTACCGTCCGCTGTTGAAGGAATACTTCCACCAGGGGGCCAAGTGGACAGCGGCGCCCAAGCCCCAGATGAGCGACGCGCTGTATAACGAGGACTGGGAGCCTGCATCGGGCGACTTCAACTCGGTCGTGACAGAGTTTGAGCCCACGTTCGACGCAGCCGAATTCACTCGCATGGGCCGCGATCTCTTTACGCAGCAAAGCCAAGTGACCAACAAGTTTGGGATCGAGTGGATGCGCCGACACCTAGGCGACGAATACCGCATCCACGTGCTGGACTTCAAAGACCGCAACGCGATGCACATTGACGGGACGTTCGTGCCGTTGATGGAGGGAAAGATCTTGGCAAATCCGTACCGTCCGTGCGTGACTGGGAAGCCCGTCAAGACGTACACGTACAAGGACAAGGAGTACGAGTACCGCTTGCCCGAGATGTTCAAGGGGTGGGAAGTGTTTGTCGCGCCGACCCCCGAATTGCCTCCGACGCACCCGCTCTTCTTCACGAGTCCGTGGACAGCCACGTGCAACGTCTTGGTCGTGCGCCCCGGCGTCGTGATTGTCGAAGCGCATGAGAAGCCGGCGCAGAAGCTGTTTAAGGAGTGGGGCTTCAACGTCATCCCGGTCCCGTTTCGCAACTTCATGCCGTTCGGTGGGTCCTTCCACTGCGCGACATGTGACGTGCGCCGCACCGGCACGCTCCAGTCGTACTTTGACTAGAACGCCATAAAAAGGAAAAGCAATGCACAGTCCCATCGAGTGAGTATTCACGCGTTTCAGTGCGATGAAAGCGCCTCGAAACAATTCATTCCAGTGCAAGCCAGGAGAACAAGGCCCCGTGGCTTGGCCAACCTCATCCACTTTGATGGGTGCAGCGCCAAGCTACCGCTTCTGCGCGCCCTCTACAAGTTCCGATTCTCGTTCTGGCTGCGTAAGACGCATCGGGCACCAAATGCTATGTGACGTACGGTGTATAGAATCGGAGACTCGTCCGTTTCGGTCGTGGTGGGGGCGACTGCTGTCGAGCCAACCGTGCTCGGTTCGGCCACCACTGCGCAGAGCGATGATCCAGTGATGGTTGGGGGAGCGCCGCCCAGAGTTGGATCGTGGCAAGCATCGACGCAACGGGACACCTCGTTGACGCAGCCGACAGCCGCACACACCATGGAGCCCGTAGTACAGTAAGATCTGTCATGTTCCCCCCATACAGTAAGTACTGGCCGACGTTGTTAGGTCAAACTTCGATTGAGCCCCGCAGTTGTGGGGTGCTTTCGTGGGACTTTCGCGTGTCTGTACCCACTGGACCGGTGACGCCTTGGTGTGACGCCAGCGGCTGCCGCTCACTCCCTCGGGCGCGTGAGTTGCACGCGTTTAAACACGTTCGCGTAGACAAGGACGCCGACAAAGACAAAGGTCGACCCGAACCACTGGCTTGGAGCAAACGGCTGGCCAAAGTACACGACGCTGAAGACGACGCTGCACGCCTTTCGAAACGTGAGGATCACTTGGAGGGACACGGTCGATACGACGGACGCCAGGCTGTACACCGACCGAATGCACACGTAGTTGGTCACGAGGTTGACGGCGACGAGGGCGACGAGTGTCGCCAAGACTGGACGGGATGCATCGTCGTCGAGAAAAGTGGTCCATGTCGTCCACGTCGTGCGCATGTCTTGACCGTCGCCAAATGCAATCAACAGAAGCGCATACGCGTGCATGAAGAACATGCTCTCTTCCGCGGGGTGGGGCTTGCCTGGAGTGGCATGCATGTGCATCACGAGATTCTGGAGATGGCCGAGGATGGAGCCGACAACAAGACCCACAAGAAGCAGCGCGATGCCGAGGCGCCAGTGGCCCACAAGTGCCAGGGTCGATTGCAGGACTGGAAGGCTGCAGATCAAGCTACCGGTCTCGTCGGTGCAAAGCGTCGCGCGATTGCTTCCACCATGTGATGATGGATCCATGTACGAGGTGAAGCCAATGCCCAAGGATATCAAGAGAACGCCGACGAATTGGTGAGGAGCGTAACCTTTTCTGAAGACAAGATATCCCGTTGCAAGCGACGCCATGGGGGTGGATGCTCGGAAGAGATTTAGAAGCGGGAACGATAGACCGCATGCATGGGCGAACGAGTTGGCGCGACTGGACACGAAGTACAGAAATGACAATCCACCGTGGTAAGCAATGGGCACAGCGATGCGTGTGGATGTGGGAAACGTCATCACAGCAATGCTCACAAACTGGACAAACGTGAGGAATGGACCGCTTCGCGGGTCGATGGACAGAATGCTCTCCATAGCCGCAACCTGGACCCAGCAGCATGCGAGGACGGTCACAACCAATCCCACGACCTTCCATTTGACGCCATCTTGTCCTTGTTTGTGTGATGCAACGGCCTTCGGTCCTTGCGACATCGGCGGAGGTTTCGCGTCGCTCGATTTCGTCACTTCCTTTGAACTAGCCGCTACAGGCGTATCCGAAATGATCCGGTTAAAGTGGCGGAAGTACAGACAACTATTCTTCGGGCGACGACAACTGAGTATGTGGATAGGTCGGCGAGGTTGAGCATGGCACAAGAGGGCGCGCATACGCGAGAGACACCCGAGGCATTGGCCGTAGACGGTCCCTTAGCGGCACGAGACTCTCTTCGTCCGATGTATGGAAGCGAGTCGCACGGCTCGTTGTACATGTTGGCACAGACTGATTGTCACGAGGGATGTGTGCCACACAGACAGCGTATAGTCTCCTGCTTGCACACCACTCCTCCTGAACCTTGTCGTGGCGGTGTAGCCGTGTCCACAATGGAGCCGAGTCCAGCCGTCGCTTCGTTTTCGCGGCGGCGTTTAACTCGTCCTGCGTTTAACTCTCGTTCGGCCCGTACAGTAGCGTCGGAGAAGTAGCAAACGGTGGCTCGAGCCTGCGATGGGGAATGTGATACACTTTGTTGTATCATGATACAGAAGTGTATATACCGCTGGACTCGACAGCGTGTGTGGCGTATATCGGGTTGGGATGGAATGCGCAGTTGGCGATGGAATCGTGGACGAGGTCGTCGGGTCCACCAACGGACCTGGCCCTCTGGGTGTTCTTTGGAGGAGTTACCCACAGTACGCGTACTACTCGAACGCGATGAAAATACTGTGAGGTGGAAAATGATGTGGCACCACATTATTGACCACAATCACGTGCACTTCGACTTCGACCGGAGATTCGACGTCGACTCGAACGCCCGTCGCTCGCTGGCAACCCGCTCAAGAACGTCAGCGAGGGATCTGCATGCTCGACAGAAGATGCTTGTGTGTCCATCGAGAGGCCAGTCAAGGTCGTCGTCGCGGTCCCATCGACGACCGTGCCTTCGAAACCATCATTGTTATACAAACGCCAAGTGTCATGCTGCTGTTGCGGCCATTTGTACCGCCCTTAATGCACCTGTCCATTTTTTATATACGCTGGGTTCTACACGTGGACTCCTTCGAACTTCGGTTTCCGCATCGTGTTCGATTCATTACCGACGGCTTGGGTGGGCGCCACTGTCCCAGTTGGGTCGTCCAACGTTGGCCTTCCGCGGGCCACCAGGCGACACCCGCCCGCGAACACCCAAAGCAACGCCACGGGATCCCGCGCTGCCCCCCTCCCTTTCTTCGAACTTCGATGTATGTACATGGTACAGTGGAATCCTTTGGAGGGTACGGCAAAACCACCTGACCGGTTAAAATCAGAGGTGCCAGAAATGATTTGCGTGACAAATTGTTTTGCGTTTGGTTACAAAATGCAAGACAACATAAAAAGTGGAATTTAATGGACTTGTCACACTGCCCACGCACTCGTGCGCATTTTCCAATAACCAAACCGACCCACACGCCAAGTCCACACCAGGACACACCTGGACGTTGCAGGAGACAAGGCCGACGCATGAAGGAAGAGCTGGTAAACCCACGAAGAATGCTGCCGCCCCCCCAAGAACGCACCGACGCGACGCGATCAACGCTCCGAACCCTGCCCAGCATGGACCAGTTGATTGCCCGGTCGCCGCTCCAAGGCACTTCTCCACACCACGCAGCCACAACCACATTGGCGGCACCGATCTATGCGCACTCGCCAACACCCAATGCAGCGCACAGTGTTCACGCAGAATACGTCAAGCCACCTGCGTTTGTGTACACAAAACACCCACATCCGTCCGGATTGCCATCGTTTCCCGACGACCGGCGCGACGCTTTCTTACGTCCGTCGGGGGGGGGCACGTATTCTCCATACACGAACGGCCAGTACCATCATTACGAAAACTCCATTTCCAACCATCAAATGAAGTCATATGACATGCAGCCCCACCAAACGTCGTACACCCACGGCCCTCTCTCGCGCCACCAGTACGCTTCGTCGGCAGCGTCGCCGTACCCAGGGTACCTCCCGCATTACGATGATCAACGCCCTCAACATCAGCAGCATCATCATCAGTCCATGTCGAACGTCGACGAAACACCTTTCGCTCGCACTGGCATCCAACCGCGTGGATTTGGTGACGAGTACGCGAGCCGGCATCATATTCATGCACACCCTCGTCCAATGCATGCCGAACCAAGCCGAGGAGTGGCATATCATGACGAGTTAACGTCCATCGACGCATCGTCGACAGGGATGCACGGTGACCTGAAAGATTCCAAGAAGCGCGAGCGATGGACCCACGAAGAACATGCGCGGTTCATGGAAGGGCTAAACATGTACGGTCGAAAATGGAAGAAGATTCAAACTCACGTCAAGACCAAGACGGCCGTTCAGGTATTTTACCGCCAGTCGCGTAAAATTTTCAGCTCTGGGCTCCTGTCGTAGGTCCGCACCCATGCGTACGGTTATTTTGCCAAGCTCTTGAGAAACATGCCTGAAGACGATGTGATATGGGGCGCCGCGGAAGAGCTGACGTCGCTTCCAAGTGCTGTTCTCAAAGGACCAGGCAGCGGCAAGCGCCGCGTGGAGCCCATGACAGGGCGGGAAGGCATGGATGTGCTGCGTAAGTTTGTCTTTTCAAAGCGGAAGCAAGCCACCAACGACGAGAAAAGAAAATTCACGTCGGACGACGAAGAGGAAGAGACTGCGACAACGACATGCACCACCGCAAATTTCACAGCCACGCCCAACTGCACCGACAATGCATCCTCTGTGGACGATGATGGTGACGAAGACGACATGGACGAGAGCGACATATCGATCAGGACGACGGCAGCGACGATTTTGTCCGTTGCTCGGGGAGGTGCCAGAAGCAGCACATCGTCACCCTCCGCAGCTTTAGCCAAAGAAGCATCCAATCTTGTGCGAGGCGTCGTACTCTCAAGCCCCACAATCAACCAGATGCAATCATTTCCAACTGCAGCCATGAAGCAAACAGACATGACTGCAACCTGATGGAGTGTGCCCCTGTTGCCAGTAGCATCTCTGAAAGATAAGCATGTTAAGTGTCACGTGTTGTGGTCATGCCAGATATTGCCGCTACCTGTACCTGCCTTCCGCGAGTCTTCTTCATGACACTTCTGCTCGTCCATCCTTCCATCCTCGGCATTGCAATCTTGGTCTGGTATCGATTCATAGAGGTTACCAAAACATTATATTGTGAAGGACTTCACTTGGAGCTTTTGGAATCAACCTCTGGCGGTGGATCAGCGGCAACTTGATGGACTTCCAGAACCGTGCCGGGTCCAAGCCTGGCTCCGGGGGTGTGGCCTCAGAGCAGCAGCAAGCCATTGATCGACGGGAACGACTCCGCAAGTTGGCCCTGGAAACTGTCGATCTCTCCAAAGATCCGTACATCCTCAAGAACCACTTGGGCACATTCGAGTGCAAACTGTGTCTGACCCTACACAGCAACGAAGGCAACTATCTGGCCCATACTCAAGGCAAACGCCATCAAACAAACCTTGCGCGCCGAGCTGCCAAAGATGCAGCTGACGCGTCCGCGTCTGTCGTTCCCACGAAACCTGTGATCGTCCCACGACGCACCATCAAGATTGGGCTGCCTGGGTACCGAGTCACGAAGCAGCGCGACCCCGACACCGGCGCCCGCATGCTTCTCTTTCAAGTAGATTACCCTGATGTGGCTGATGGTTTCCAGCCTCGTCATCGTTTTATGTCGGCATACGAGCAAAAAGTAGAGCCCGCGGACAAGAACTTTCAGTACCTGCTCATGGCATGCGAGCCATACGAAACAGTGGCGTTCAAGGTACCGAACATGGACATCGACAAGTCGGAAGGAAAATTCTTCTCCAACTGGGACAAGTTGAGCAAATCATTCACGCTGCAGCTAACGTTTGCCGTCGAACAAAGCAAACCATCACGCCCAGCCCCCCCGCCACCTCGTCCAACTCGACGTTTCTTGTAACGTCTCTTGGCGGCTAATACGAGCTGAAATTGATTTAATGAGTTGGGTTTCCTCTCGACTGGTCGTGTGTCTAAGGGCAGAACTGCTGAATAAACAAGTTCATCCAACGACCCCATTTCCAAAACACTTTCACAAGAAATTGGAACTACGCGACATCAAATTGTGGTCATCTGGAATCCAGAACACTGTACTCTGCGCCCTATATAGCACACATACAAGATGAAGGACTGCCATCAACGGCGCAATGCTTTTGCGATGATTGTTCAATGCAGGTCTTAAAGATGTAGGTGTGCCACGAAATGGTACGACAAGATTTTAAATGCATTCTAAAATCAATTTCGCTTATTGATACATTTCAAATACCATGCTGAAACAGCCATTCTACGCAACCCGCAAGTATTAATACAAGAGCGGAAACACAATGAATACATTAGAAATTGTGAATAATTTTAAATGCTGCGTTGGGTTTCCACGGCTCCCACCCATTTCCGTGGCTGCATGTACCGGATGATTTTATCCGGAAGCACATGCAGTCACAAGTAGTCTTGGTCATTTTTCAATCGTCGAGGTCAAATCATGTCGGTCGTGGTGACTTGCGGCCTTCCGTCTGCCGCTGAGGCGACGAAGGGCCTTGCATTGCTTCAAGATCTGCAGAAGCAAGGACTTCGTGTCGCTGTCCTTGGCTCTTTGGCATGGCGTGACCAAATCGTGCACGCAAAGATTCCGCACATCCATGTGACTGCACCAGTCGAAGTCGAAGAGTTGCTCCAGTCGCCAGTCCGCCTTGTCGTCGCGTTCCTTCCCGACTCGTCTGTCACTACGGAAGAATCGTTGAAGGCGTGGGGTGTTGGAAGCCACGGATTCGTCCGATCGGCGACATGGGCATTCGACAAGATTGCTGTCGTCGTCGACTCGAACGACTTTGCTCGAATCCGTGACTCCGTGTCGCAGCATGGCGAGCTCGCTCTATCTGTCAACGACCGCAAGTTGTTGTCTCAAAAGGCCTTCCGCGCGTTTGCCTCTCTGGACAACCGAGCCGCGTCTTCGCTTCAAGTGGAAATTCCCCAACGCAACATTCTCCTCGTCGGAAACGGTGGCCGCGAGCATGCGCTGGCTTGGAAACTTGCGCAGTCTCCGCAAGCTGCCCACATTTTCGTCGCTCCAGGGAACGGCGGCACGGCCGCGGGCGCAAATCCAAAGATCTCGAACGTGGCGCTGTCCCCGGACCACCCCGATGCCCTGATCGCGTTCTGCAAAGAACACAACGTTTCGCTCTGCGTTGTGGGCCCTGAAGCCCCACTCGTTGTCGGTCTTGCCGACAAGATGAACGCCGCTGGCATCCCAACGTTTGGCCCAAGCCAACGTGCGGCGCAACTGGAAGGGTCGAAAGCTTTTTCCAAGGACTTCATGGCCCGCCACGACATCCCGACGGCCGCGTACAAGAATTTTACTTCTTACGATGACGCCAAGGCGTTTATTGATTCGATCGACTACAATGTGGTGATTAAAGCGTCCGGCATTGCCGCCGGCAAGGGCGTGTTGATCCCCACGACCAAGGAAGAAACGTATGCTGCGCTCAAGGAAGTGATGGTGTCCAAGGCGTTCGGCAACGCCGGTGATGAGGTCGTCATCGAGGAGTTCATGACGGGCGAAGAAGTGTCGCTCTTGGCGTTCTGCGATGGCCAGCGCGTTGTGGCAATGCCCGGTGCCCAGGACCACAAGCGCATCTTCGACAACGACCAAGGTCCTAACACGGGTGGGATGGGCGTGTATGCGCCTGCTCCGTGCCTGTTCGGCCAAGTCGAACAAGAATGCGTGGAAATCGTACAAAAGTCGGTGACGGCTCTGGCCAAGGAAGGCCTGCCGTACGTGGGCATTTTGTTTGCCGGATTTATGCTCACTCCCAACGGACCCAAGATCGTCGAGTTCAACTGCCGCTTTGGGGATCCCGAGACGGAAGTGGTGCTTCCGCTTCTCAATAGCGATTTGGTGGAAATCATGCTGGCTTGTGTTGAACATCGCTTGGACCCTTCATTGGTGAAGTGGAAGAACGGCGCGGCCGCGACGGTTGTCATGGCGTCCGAGGGGTACCCTGATAGCTACCCCAAAGGCCGCGTGATCACGGGAACGGATGCTGCGAATGCCCTCCCCAATGTGACTGTGTTTCACGCCGGCACTGCCTTGCGCGACAACAAGGAGCTTGTCACGTCTGGAGGCCGAGTGCTCACCGTGACGGCGACGGCGACGTCGATGAAGGACGCAATCGAAAAGGCGTACGAAGGAGTGTCCAAGATCCATTTTGACGGCGCGCAGCACCGCAGCGACATCGGCCATCGCGGTCTCCTTCGCTCGTGCCCGACGATTAAAATCGGTGTGCTTGGGTCGACGCGTGGCAGCAGCTTGCAGCCGGTTCTGGACGCGATTGCTGCGAAGGAACTCAACGCAACGGTGGAGATCGTTGTGAGTGACCGCAAGGCGTCGGGCATTCTCGAACGTGCCCGCAACCACAACATTGAAGCCCATGCGGTCTCTGGCAAGGGCAAGACCCGCGATCAGTTGGATGCCGAAGTCACAGCGCTCCTCCAGGCCAAGAAAGTCGACCTCATCCTCTGCATTGGATACATGCGCATCTTGTCCGCGTCGTTCTGCCAAGCGTGGGCCGGTCGCGTTTTGAATGTCCACCCGTCCCTTCTGCCCGATTTTGCTGGCGGCATGGACTTGGCGGTCCACCAAGCCGTCATTGACGCCAAGAAGACGGTCACTGGATGCACTGTGCACTACGTCACGGAAGACGTCGATGCCGGTCCCATTGCCGTCCAGTTGAAGTGCCCCGTGTATCCCGCCGACGTGGCGGAAACAGTCAAGGCTCGCGTCCAGCCATTGGAAGGAGCTGCGTTCTTGTATGCGATCAAGCGCCACCAGGTGCATGCGTACATGGGCCGCGTTCAAAAGCAAACAATTTCGTATGCCGACGCTGGTGTGAGCATCGACGCTGGGAATGCTCTCGTGCAAAAGATCAAGCCGTTGTGTAAGTCGACCGTGCGCGCTGGATGCGACGCGGACCTCGGTGGGTTTGGTGGGCTCTTTGACCTGCAAGCGGCCGGCTACGACAAAGACACGGTCCTCGTCGCATGCACGGACGGTGTCGGCACCAAGCTCAAGATCGCGCAGCTGACGGGCCAGCACAAAACTGTCGGGATTGATCTTGTCGCCATGTGCGTCAACGACCTGCTCGTGCAGGGTGCGGAGCCCCTGTTCTTTTTGGACTACTATGCTTGCGGCGCGCTCGACGTGGACGCTGCCGCGGAAGTCGTGGAAGGCATCGCGGAAGGTTGCCGTCAGTCGGAGTGCGGCCTCATTGGCGGGGAAACGGCCGAAATGCCGTCCATGTACCACGGTGGCGACTACGACTTGGCCGGGTTTTGCATTGGCGCCGTGCACAAGACCAAGTTGTTGCCGCTGCCGGCGCGCAATGGCGACGTCGTTTTGGGACTGCCCAGTGCCGGGTTGCACTCAAACGGGTACTCGTTAGTGCGGAAGTTGGTCGAAGTTGCAAACCTGACCTACGGCTCGCCTTGTCCGTGGGACGCAACGTCGACTTTGGGCGCAAACCTCCTCACCCCTACGCGCATCTACGTGAAGGCTATCATGCCCTTGTTGAAGCAAGGATTGATTCGCGCCATGGCGCACATTACTGGTGGGGGGTTGTTGGAAAACATTCCGCGCGTGTTGGCCAATACCAACGCGGTCGAGATTGATGCCGCTGCTTGGCGTCTCCCTCCTGTGTTTGGCTGGTTGCGCTCTGTCGGCAACCTCCCTGACGATGAAATGACCCGAACGTTCAACTGCGGCATCGGCATGGTGCTCATTGTTGCTCCTGACCACGAAGCTCAAGTTGTCGAGTTGCTCAAGGCCGAACACGTTGTGCGATTGGGCTCGGTGGTGCCTCGCGCTAATGACAGTGCCGCGCAAGTGCTTATCAAAGGTCGTCTGCAGTTCTAATCATCACCATCCATGTGTTTCCTCCGTTCGTCGACTTCCCTAGCGCACATGACCTTCCTTCCCCAAACACACTGCATTTCCAGGAAATTTTGATATCGTCCACCGGATATCGTATCCGAACTGGGATTCTTTTTCTTTCGTTCATCGCCGAATTTGGATTTCAACGAGCTGGGGGCATGAGCGACGCCGATGACCTCCTGCGCATGTTCCAGAGCATCACGACGAACGACCACGACGACCTTGTCCAGCAATTCTCCAAGATCTTGCAATGCGATGCTGCCACAAGCACGTTTTTCCTCGAAAGCTCCAACTGGAACGTAGAAACTGCAGCGAACATGTACCTAACGACTATTGGCGGCGCAGCCGTCGGAGCCATGGACGTCTACCAGCCTTCGACCCTTCAGCCAGAAGCCAGGTTTCTGACTGATCTGAGTGCCGCTCAAAGCGCACTTCTCTTGCCCCTTCAACCTGTGCAACTGCGCCTATCGTTCCAGAACATTGGGATGGCCCCATGGCCCGAAGGGACGTCGCTAGTACTCTCCCAAGGATTCGATTTCAACACTCCCCCCGAGATCCAAGTACAATCCGTTGAAGTGGGAGGTACCGTCGACATCAACCTGAGCCTGACCATGCCAGCGGAGAGCGGAACACACTATGGCACTTGGCGATTGATGTGGGAATGTGGGTATTTTGGGGACCCAGTCTGGGTGGTGCTGACAGTGGTGGACGACAAAGGCAAAGACCTCGTCGACGACAGCGCTACTACTTGCGCGATGGAGGTCGTCGAAGGGGAACTGTACGATCAGGACGACATGGAGCTGTAAGCGCCGCCTAAGTTATACTGTTCATGGATGGCAATTCACCTGGCATGATTCACGCGTTTGTGTCGGCTTGGCCGCACGTTGCCGCACGTGTAATGGTGAGCATCGGAATACTTGAACGACGCGAGTGCCATTTCTTGTGCACATGCACTGCCTTTGATGTTTTCTGGTCGATGGACTTAGTATCTCCATGGTGTTGCAAGGAATGCAGCTTGCCACCGACATCAACGAGAGATTTGGCACAGCGTCTCCAGCGCAAGCGTACATGTCAGTGGTGGAAGCATCTTTTCATGCTACAAAGCGGCTCGGCGCCACTAGAACGTGAGCGCCACGCATGACGACGTCAACTGGTTTCCCAAGCATCAGGTCACATAGACGTTTGACAGGTGTGAATAGGAGGAATTCCGCGATGCACGACCAGATGTACTAGGACCTGCCGCCGTGTCGATATGATAAACGTGTAACGGGGCTGGGACGACGTGGCAACGCACTTGTTCCAATCTTCATCGAACGAATGGAATCCGCGCCACCTGGCAGTTCAACTCTTGCCGCTCGTTGCGCCATGGCCATGACCGGGGAAGACACGCCGTTCCTGATGAAAGGAGACGAAGGCTTCAACCTCAAGCGTGAAGTGCAGGAGCTCGTGTCGATGGCCTTTCAGGTCAGCCTGGCGAGTCTTGTCCGCATGGGCTTGACAGCGATCGACAGCGCTTTCTTGGGCCACCTCGGCGTCCAGGCGTTGGCAGCGTCGTCGTTGGCGTCCGTGTGGATGGCCGTTCCATTATATGGGGTGTGGTCTGGCATTGCCTGCATTGTCACGGTACGAGCGCGTGCTTTCGCGTGCAATGTCGTGACGCTTGGATGTAGTTGTGCGGTCAAGCCCTCGGTGCCCAGAATTACAAGTTGGCAGGCATTTGGCTCCAGTTTGGCGTCATCATTTGCTTCTTCCTGTCGGTGCTGGCAGCAGTGTACTACTGGAACATTGGGATCTTGCTGCGCATGTCCACGTCGGACGAGCAAGTGATCGAGCTCGGCATTCGGTTTGCACGCATTATGACGTTGACGATCTTTCCGAGTCTCACGTATGCGTGCATGCGTCTGTACTTTCAGTCCATGACGATTGTCCTTCCCACGACTCTCGTGGGCCTTGCGTCCGTTGGTGTCGCCATCGGAGCCAACTACTTCCTCATTTACGGCACGGCGACGTGGCCAGGAATGGGCTTTGATGGATCGCCTTGGGCGACCGTGATTGCGTGCGTCTTTCAGCCCACGGCGCTGTATTTGTACTGCGTAGTTTGGAAGCAGTACCATCTCCAGGCGTGGGGCGGGTGGAAGCTTGAGGAACTGACGTGGGATCGATTCTGCACGTTCTTGTCGCTGGGTGTCCCGATGGCGTTTAACTCGCTCATTACGAACGTCGCGAGTGCTGGCGTCGCAGTGATCGCAGCCAAGTTGGGCCCTGACGTCGTTGCGGCGAATGCAATTGTGACGCAGTTCTGGACGATCTTGTATGCCTTCTTTTGGGGATTTGGCTGTGCGACGCAGACCAAGGTGGCATTCTACCTTGGCGCCGGGAAGCCCACAAGCGCCAAGGCCGTGACCAAGATTGGCGCTGTCTGTACCATCCTGAATGCAGTCGTACTGGCCATCGTGATCCTGACCCTTCGCCATCGCATCTTTGTCGTGTACACCAACGACGACACGTTGCTTCAGTTGTCGGGCCTCGTCGTCCCGATCTTTGTGTGGGCTTACTTCCTCGAGTCTCTCGAGATGTTTATGGCCGCCGTCTTGACCGGCATGGGCGAAGTCCGCGTGATTTTTTGGACGGCGCTGTTTGCAACGTGGTGTGTCCAGCTGCCCGTGTGCTACGTGGGGGCGTTTGTGTTTGACGCTGGGTTTCCAGCGCTGTGGAACGCCGTGTGCACGATGGAGGCGTCGAAGTTGGTGATTTTTGCAGTCGTCCTCTCCCGCGTCGACTGGGATGCCGTGACGGATCGTGCCATCAAGGCAAGCGAGGCCAAGAGCAACATCTCGGATGAAGACGAATTGAGACACCAGAACGAGGAACTGGTCGAGTTGTCGGACATCTTTAACGGTCCGACCATGGTTGGCACTCCGCGAACGCCTCTCGGGGCCATCACCCCGTCGTCTGCTAGCGTACGGAAGCGCACGCTGTCGTTCGGGACCGTCCTGGGCACCGACAAGACCGGGCATGTGTAGTGGCCGACGGGATTGGGCTCTTGAATCGTCGAATGATACATCCTATCGTCATGTTTGTGGACTTTTGCGCTCTGGAACGCATGAATAATTAACAACTTCGGTCGCATCGACGACAATTCGAATTGATAGTTTGTGGGCGAACGCTCTTTATTCGTCCGTGACACAGCCCAGCGACGCAGACGACACGCTTTGAATGTACTTGTACAAGGCACCGCGGGTGGCCTTGAGCGGCGGCGCGCGCCAGTTGCTCGCGCGTTCCTGGAGCTGGGCCTCGGTCAAGTCGACATCGACGCGGTTGTTCACTGCGTCGATCGTGACGACATCTCCCGACTCGAGCAACGCGATGGGGCCCCCGACTTGGGCTTCCGGTGTGATGTGACCAATGATAAATCCTACCATCGCAGCTCAGAAACGAAAGGGAAAAGGGCGCGCTGTACCATGGGAGCCACCAGAGAAGCGGCCATCCGTGATCATCGCAACATCCTTGGCCAACCCCGCGCCAAAGATCGCCGACGTGCACGTCACTAGTCGCCGGTGAGGATGCGTCGTACAAGACTCAGGGACACGTACACATTTCAGGCATGCCGGGGCCGCCCTTGGGGCCTTCATAGCGGATTACAATCACACTTCCCTTGGTAATTTCACCATCTTCTAGCGCCTTCAACATGTCTTCTTCACAATCGTACACGCGCGCAATGCCCTTGAAGTGCAGCCCTTCCATGCCCGTGATCTTGGCGACGGCACCTTCCGGCGCGACGTTTCCGCGCAGAATGCGAATGTGCCCCGTTTCCTTGAGCGGCTTCTCTACCGAGTGGATGATGCGGCCGTTGTCGGACAAGCTCGGGAGGTTTGCCACGTTCTCAGCCAACGACTTGCCCGTCACCGTCAAGCAGTCGCCGTTCAGGACGTCCTTTTCAATCAAGTACTTGATGACAGCAGGGACGCCGCCGACGCTACCGACAGAAATGGTGAGCCATCGTCGCAATCGGGCAGATTCTTTTACTTGTGCAAGTCCTCCATGACGTATTTACCGCTGGGCTTGAGGTCCGCAATGTACGGAGTGCGGTCGGCAATGAGGGCAAAGTCATCCAGCGTCAAGGATACGCCGGCGGCGCGGGCGATCGCGAGAAAGTGCAGTACGGCGTTGGTCGACCCGCCCAGAGCCATCGTCACTGCCTAGAACACGATGGTGATGCTGCATGAGACGAATAGGTGGCATACAATGGCGTTTTTGAACGCTTCGCGGGTGAGAATGTCGCGGGGCTTGATGTCGTTTTCCATAAGGTACCGAATGGCCTTGCCCGCATCATGGCATTCTTGCAATTTTTGCTTGGATTCGGCAGGCGAGCTTGACGAGTACGGCAGACTCAACCCCAACACTTCGATGGCCGTCGCCATGGTATTGGCGGTGTACATGCCACCGCACGCACCAGGGCCAGGACATGCCTTGCGAATGATGTCCTTGCGGTCGTCGTCCGTGATCCTAGTAAGATGATGCATGTCGTGTCGGTGATTCGATTGGGGGATCGCTGTACCGGTTGGCCAAGTACTCGCCGTAGCCTTCAAACGCAGAGAGCGCGTCAATCGTTTGGCCATTGCGGCAACCGGCGCGAATGGTGCCACCGTACACGATCAGCGACGGACGGTTGTGGCGCGCCATGGCGATGAGACAACCAGGCATGTTCTTGTCGCAACCAGGAACGAGGATATTGGCATCGTACCACTGAGCGCCCATCACAGTCTCGATCGAATCGGCGATCAAGTCTCGCGAGGGCAAGCTATACGACATACCAGCCGTGCCTCTAAAGCAGGACGCTTAGTGTTCGGTCAAATAGAAGCGATGGACTTACTGAGCAATGACGTCGCTGACACCAACCGTGTTGAAGCGATACCCAACCATGCCAGCTTGTTGGACACCAGTCTTGATCTCGTTCGCAAGATCCAGGAGATGCATGTTGCAAGGATTGCCTTCCCACCACATGCTAGCAATCCCGACTTGCGGCTTGGTCAGGTCCTCCTCGTTGATACCGGTGGCGTACAACATCGCTTGGGCCGCTCCCCGGGACTTGTGTTCAGTCAAGACGGAGCTAAACTTGTTCAGCTTCACCTTGTCCTCTTTAACAGCCTTTGAGCTCATAGCACGGCGCGCAAACTGCATGGAATGGCGGCGCCATTTCCCATGGACCAGCATACCGGCCAGGCGAGTGGTGTCAAAGTGCACGCCAAGTTGACACTCCGGTTGCCCAGTATCCGGATTCGGATACCAGTGGAAAGGAATAAAGTTGCGGTGGTTGCAGGTCTGTGAAATTTGATATTTCCCGTTTGTGTGGAGAGAGCAAGCAGAAGCTCTCGCCGGCCGCCGCAGGGAAGAGGACAGAGCGCCATGTCGGTGCACTTCAAGTTCAAGTCCGAGAAGGAGTTCGGGACAATTAACTTCCCAGGCACCACCATTCGGGTCATTGACCTGAAGAAGGGCATCATCGAGCAGAAGAAGCTCAACAAAGGCCAAGACATGGAACTCGTGATCACGGACTTTCAAAACAACACTGGTAAAGCATGACCGGGCAAGTGTTTGCGTGGGTTTGACATGAACACGGTGGCCGTAGTGTACGAAGACGACAATCAGCAATTGACGAAGAACACGAGCGTGATAGTGAAGCGCATGCCAGCGAAGAATAATGTGGGGATCCTGGCTCGCATCGCCGCCGAACAAAAAGCCTTGTGCGTACTGCATCCTTCTCCTGTGCCTACTGCATGTTGTCACCCCTCGATGTCTTGCTTGTTTGATCACATCAATAATACTGTTTTTCTTCGAGTCGACCCAGCCCTTCCGACGTCCTTACGCCGCTGCATGGTGGTTATTTGACTGACTTAGAGCTCCCCCCCATACTCTTCTTCCCGTTCCCCCGGTAGCTCCTGCTTTGGTACGACTCCAGTACCTTAACAACAACAGATTGTACTCACGCGATGTTTCCCTAGCCAAGCCTGAACGAATCGGACGGCCAAGCGACGACGGCATCTGGCGGTGCCGAAACAGTGGAAGACGAACTGGAAGCACTGAATGCAATCCAGCAAGAAGCCGAAGAAGCTCGAAGCATGCGCGGTGGCGGAAACAAGACATGGACGGCGACAGGTGGTGCGGGATTCAAAGGGGGGCCGCCTGGGATGTATGCTGGCGGTCGGGGCGGCGGCTATGGAGGCCGTGGTCCTCCTCCCATGGGCGGTCGTGGTGGCGGCCCTTCGCAGCCTCTTCCTGGCGACAACTTGTTGGATACTCCACCGCAAGGCTACGTGTGCTACCGGTGCGGTGTTCCCGGCCATTTCATCCAGAACTGCCCCACGAACGGCAACGCGAACCACGACAAGCACATGGTGAAGCCTCGCACGGGCATCCCAACCAGTCTGATCAAAGCCGTGGAGGGCCCAAACCAAGCGCCAGGGTTTACTGTCGTCAACACTGGGCCCAACGGTGGCCTCGCCATCGTCGTGCCCCAAGTGAAGGCGTTCGAGAAATTGGTCAAGTCATCTGGCGGCGGGTCCGGCATTGACCAGTATCGTCTGGTCCCACCGGACCACTTGGCGTGTCCGATTTGTAAACGGCTCATGCAAGACGCGGTGCTCATTCCGTGCTGTCACGAGGTACCAGGACTAAGGAAAATTGAACAATCGGTCGAGCTGGCCATGGCGCTGCATGCTTTGTCGGTTGAAGAGACGAGGACTCATTGTGGCGTGATAGAGTGCGTGCGACGGATGCATTCGGGACGCTTTGATCAGCCACAATTTGACGTGCCCGTTGTGCCGAAAAGCCATGTCCCCCGAAAATGTACCCACTTCCATGTTGCGCTCGCATCTGACGTGATGTGGTCTGGGCTAGTTGATTCCAAACAAAGGCACACGGTCGTCGGTCGATGAATTCCTAAAGCGGTCGCAGAGCGAAGCGCAAGAGCGAGAGAGGCTGGTGAAAGAAGCCGAGGCCAAGGCGTTGCAGAAACAACTCGAAGCGGAAGACACAACGTCCCAGCGGCGCGTCGAGATTGCCGACGCCGTCTTGGACATTTCGAAGAAACCCAAGGACGACGACGACGACGATTTGGGAGGAGATCTGTTTGCAGAAGAACCTGAAAAGGTCGAATCGCCGACGAAGCAAGAGATGGCTCCCCAGCCCGCAACGCAACCTGCCCCGACGGACACAGCGGAGGCACCTACAGAGCAACCCCCCCCATCGGTGACGGCCACCACGACGGACGTCAAAGCAGAGGAGGCAGGTAGCATTAAGCCAAACCAAGACAAACCACTTGGTTCTGGACCACCGCCTGGTGGCCATCACCATGGTGGCCGTGGCGGGCATCCCCCAGGATGGCGATCACACGGTGGCCCACCTCCAGGATGGTTTGAAGGCCCACCTCGCCCATGGTTTGATGGCCCTCCGCCGCCGTGGGCTGCTGGGGGGCACTTCGGCCACCCCCCGCCTCACATGTTCTACGATGGAGGCTTCTATGGAGGACCGAATCCTCCACCTTGGATGCGGCCTCCACCCGGCTACGGAGGTGGGCGTGACCGATCGGCCGAGCGAAAGGGCGACAGATCAGACAAAACCGACAGAGCAGACAAAGGCGACGACAAGGGATCCCCGCGAAGCAAATCTCGACGAAGTCGCGAGCGACGACGAGGCAGTCGGGACCGCAAGTCGTCGAGACACCGCAGCCGCAGCCGTAGTCGACGCCGCGACCGGTCGACTGAACGCGAGTCGTCGCGAAAGTCCGCGACGCGCGATTCCAAGTCGGACAAACGTGACTTGTCCGATCGCGAGCGCAAGGGCCGGTCGTCGTCCGTCAGAAAAGAGACAGACTCGAAGGAGCGCAGCACCAGTCGCCGGGGCAGCGAACGCAACGACGATGACCGGCACAGTAAAGACCGGAGCGACGACCGGAAGGACCGCGCAGACGACAAGCGATCCGGCGCTGCAAGTGCGTCCACGCCCTCCGAAAAGAGTCGCGATGCATCGCTAGAAATAAAACCATCCAGCCTGAAGGACGAGAAGGCTGCGGCGTCCAAGCCGGTCGAAGCACCGGCCATCGACTTGGACTTCCTCGAAGAAGACCCCACCACTGTTGATAAGCCGGTGACCAAGAACGAGTCGACCAAACGGGAGGTTGGAAAGGAATCGTCGCGACGTAAATCGGAGAACGATGACTGGCGAGACCGCAATGACAAGCGCAGTGATCGGCATGACCGCCATGACTCGGATCGCAAGACGTCGGATCGGAAGGGCGGAGACCACCGTCGAAACTCGGATCGCAAGGTGGAACGAACAGATGAGCGGAAATCCGACCGCAAGGGCGACGACCGTCGGCGTGGGGACAAGAAGGACGACGGTCTTCGCGATGGCGACCGAAAGGAGAAGAAGGCGGACAAGAAGCGCAGCAGCGAGCGGCCGTCGTCACGCGACGACAAACGCAGCAATGACAGCAAGCGCCGTCGGAGTCGGTCCCGCGAGCGCAACAATCGAAGCAGCGAACGAAAGGTGACCAAGAAGGTGGAGGCGGAAGAGCCACCGAAGAAGAAGAAATCTGTGTTTGAACGACTCGGGCCCGCGGTGAAGAAGTAGGCGGATATTCTTGTAATGCATCGAGGTGGTGTGCAATGCGTGTGCCGTCATCTACCTCGATTACCTACCACATTTCGAACACTGACACATGAACGGAGCGACGGCTGCCGAGCTCGCACGATGAGCTAGAGCGGCGCCGTCGCGATGTGTGTCATTGAAGTGGAACACAGCGGCTGGCGCCGTGGAGCCCCCGCACGGCCACGGCGAGTGTGAAAGATTTGGAAAAATGTAACTGCCACCACAGTGCATGTGGCATTGATCGACGAAGGCGGTGGCAGGCATGGAGGGCTACCTCTGGAAGCAAGGGCATGTCATAAAGAACTGGCAGCGGCGATACTTCCGTTTGGACACGACCAGGAGCACACTCGAGTACTTCACGGTTGGCCACAGTGCTCGAGCTCTCCTTATGGCGGCGGGTGTGAGCTAGGACCACCTACTGACAAGGCGCAAAGGCCGCATCAACGTCTCGCTGGCAGATATCAAACGCGGGGAAGAAATCGGGTCGATAGGTGAAGGCGTCGCGTCGGCGGCAGACTCGCGACGGTTCGTGTTCCGACTCATGGAGCACGGGTCCAACGTAGTAGGGTTGGCTGAACGCGGTTGAGGTACTTAATGCGGTCGTAGGCGTATTACATGTGCGCTGAGTTGCCGGAGGGACCTGTCGGTATGTGTAGCTTTGTCGTGTTGGTCTCGTTCTCTTCAGCATCGGACTTGCAGCGAGTCGGGGGTACCAAGAAGCCTGGGTCCGCGCGCTTCGAGTGTGCAGCGCCAAACCCATCGCTGCTCTAGCGTTTGACGCCGACGCGCCGCAGCGTGATGCGGCCAGTGACACCAGGAGCTCGGCTGCACTGAATGAGCTTACCTTCACTGCTTGGGTTTCCAATGGCCGAGCCATTGGCAAGACCGAGGTCGAGTTGACTCATTTTGTCGTGCCACGTCGCCAACACTGATGCGACGTGTCGTGGTGCCAGGCGTACGAAGTGACGTGCAGGGCAAGCATTGTCGTGGAAAATGGGTCCGACAGCGGTGGAACCGTCGACAAATGCACATGCGAATGGGTGGTGTGGAAGTCGCGGTCCGACTGGCATGACATGGACCGGTGGGCCGTTCGATGCATGAAGATAGACGGTTGAGACCGAGTTTTGTAGTCAACTGCGAGCCCTTGTGCCTTTGACGCACGTGGCGTTCCCAAACGATCATGTTGTGCCGAATGCGCTGTCGACGCTCTTCACAACGTCGGCGTCGCGAGACCACAAAATCCACGCCTCTGTGCAAGCGTTTGATGGCTTCCTGCAGAAAGTGCGTACGCTCAGCGACTTTTGCAGTTTATGTGATGATATCAACAGCTCTTGGCGCTCGACACTGTCGCCGACTACACCAGCAACGGGTCAAAATTGGTGCTGGGTTTTCTAGAGTACGATGAGTACGTGGCCAACTTGCCCCTCCCTCTACAGTTTACGCCACCCCCATGCGGCATCAAGTCGAGGTCGACAGTCAAGCCAGTGGCTCTGCCCCCACGCACCACAGCCACAGGGGACGTCCGCCGTGCTGACGACGAGGTGGACGCTGATCATGATGTATGTCGTCAAGCGCCTCTCTCGACAATATTGACTCCTCATGGATGCGCTAGACTTCCCTGGACATAAAAGCTCGTGTAGCCAAGGTCGGTCGAAAGCTGTTGGTTGACGCCATAAGTACATGAGCAAAGTGGCGGCATGATGCCTGCATCCTAGCTGCTTTGACGTGTCAGTCTGTCTCAAAGTCTTCGCTGTCGTAAGATTGTTCGGATCGGCGCGATGTTCGCGCGGATGTAGCAGAGCCCTTGTCTGGAGAGTCTTCCGCTTCAGGGACTTCGTCGCCGCGTTCCCCGTCGCCAGTCGTGCGTGCTGCGTCGGTTGCTTTCAGTGCAGCGTTCACAAGTGTTGTCGCTGGGTTGTTCTATGCACAAACGGTGAGGGTCGAAACAAGTGAACGACGCCTACGTTGCTCTCCCGCCCATCCAGCACCGTCGACCGTAGCTTCGATCCGAATCGAGAGCTCAATGGTTTGGGTTCGTCGGGGTACGCTCCGCCGAGCTCCTGCAGCAGTTCCAGGGCGGCTTTGTGTTCATCTCTCAAGTCCGCCAGTGACGTCCCGGAGGTCATGCGACTTCGGCCGCTGTCCTGCTGGGTACGGGTGAGGGTGATCATGCTGTGACCTTTTCAGAGCCGTCGTCCGCACCTTCTTCCCAGATTTGGCAGCAGATTTATGGCCTCGTTTCCGCTCCTTGTTGTCGTGACCGTCATCGGTCAGTTGGCGTGACGATTTTTTGGCTTGTGGATGCAGCGACGTCTTGCTTTCTCGTGACATGGGATTCAAATTCAGTCGTGGAACCACTGCGCCGACGGCACCACCATCATTGGAGCTGTGCAAACTCGTGGTGGGCATGGACGATCTGGCAATATCACATTAGACGAAATCTCGTTTCGTTGCCATCGTACATGTCCTCTTCGGGCTTGTGGATGGTAGAGGAAGCCGATGGCGCTGAGTCGGACCGATGGATTGCTTGGTTGGCGTCGTCCGACTCAAACAAGTCGAGGACGTCGTCGCGGCGTCGCGGGTCTGCGTACAATGCGAGGTCCGGGTTGCTGCGGGTCGAAGTCATGTGTACGTCTCGTCTGGTGACGGTGGACTTAAGGGCAGGGAGTTTATCTGCGCGACTTTTCACGCTTCGACTGGGAGGCGGCTGGAAGGCTTCGTTTGCTTTATCGGCTTTGAATGGCCGTGAGTGGGAGTGCGGCGGGTTCGCGTCGCCCTTCTTAAGCCCTTGGAACGCCTCGATTTCAGACTCCGGGTGGAAAAAGCTGTCGGTGGCCACGACATTGTGTACGGAAAATGGGCTGTGCAACGACGACTGAGCAGCGCTGGGCGGAGACGATGGCGATTCTTGGTTCGAGTGGAATTTCAAGAGCGACTTGTAGAAACTCTCGTTCGCGGACGCCATTTCGAGCGCCTCCATGTATATCCCCGTGGAATGCTTCTCCGGTTGCTTTTCTGTAGACAAGTCAGTCATTTAGTGGCGAGAACGCGGCATGGCGACAACTCACTCGGGAGCTTTTTCTCCACCGCGGGATTCAAGTGCGTCGACACACTCGGTTTGACTTTGGTCAGCCGCTGTTTCCGCGCCGCCTCGGCCTTTTCCCTACAACCAAGCCCCCATCACTCAGCAAGGCATCATGAGGTTGGAGATCGCGTACATCATCTTCATTGACACGGCCGAGTTGCGTCGAGGGTCGGCCCAGTTGAACGCCGTCGACATGGTGTATTTATAGCGTCGCCGAAAGGCAGCCTCAACCTGTTCAGTGCATTGTTCCGGATAATATCCAGACGCGACGGTTCCGCTCAACGAACCTTGGCAGTTGGCTACGTTCACAGGAGGTAATGGATGGATGGAGAATGAAGATAGAAGGTACTCTGCCTGTCACTCCCACTTGCTGTGCATCAGTCACAGGCGATGCGGGCAGTTCCAATAACGTCGTTGGACGCTTAGAAGGTGAAATGACCGAATTGGTGGAGGTATACCTCGCAACTGCGACTACGCACGCATCGATTCCGCGAAGCCAGCTAGAACGAGGCCATTGGGGCAGTGCGTCGTCTGATGTGGGCGGTGTCGGGGCTTCTCTGAGCTTGTTTGAATCCTATCTCGCCAGACGTGCCCGAACAAGCGTCTTGGTGGTGCAGCGCCGTCGGTATTCGAAATTTGCGCCAGGAAGCTTGCTTTGCGTGGGAGAGATCGCAAGAACGGTTCCTGGCGCGGCTTTTCAAAGGATTTTCGGATCCGGATAAAGACCCTATACAAACGCCAAGTATAAATTCAGGGACATGCCACTCTTGACACACCGAAAGCCCGAGATGGATCTTTGGAGGAGATCGCGATGGCCACGTCTGTGAACAGGTTGATCGGACCGGCCCAGAAACCAATTACCTCTGCGATCCCAAAGGTTCCTCGATGGAGAGCCAATTCCCGATCAGGCCGTCGTACTTCCGCGGGCCGCCGCTGAACGACGAGAATCAGCGACAGCATGTCGCGACTGCACGCGGCATGGCGCAGTCCCTTGTCAACTTGGCGTTCAACGAACAGTGGCGGTTTGTTCCGCCCGAGAAAGACGGCGTGCAGTACAGAAAGGATACATCCAACATGGAGTGCTCCTACCGCCTCATCCGCAGCTCTGTGATTCTCAAATGCACGCCGACGGAAATGGCTACGATTATGAACCACCAGAGTACGGAGGCCATGCGCAGCTTCATGCGCAAGATCATGGGCAAGACATTCATCGACGGCATGGTCCTGTACGCGATCACACCGTCGATGGACAACAATGCGACCGTCGACACCACCATCACGGACGAATTCGTCACTATCAAATGGGGGGTATTGGACGCTGGACTGGGTGTGCGGCGCGACATGTGCGTCATCGACCTCGTGGGCGACACGGTTGTACCAAATACTCCAGAAAAGGAACCTCTCCACATGTGGTGCATGACGTCCACCGACGGAAACAACGTCGGGTGCATGTCTCTGAAGGACTCGCACGGCATTGCGCGCACCGAGATCTCGAAGCTCGGATTCTTCTGGCACAAGTTGTCTCGGGATGAGCTGGAAGTCGTCGTGTGCGGGAGCTTCAAGTCGAAGAACGTCAAGCCGGTGGCGATGGGAATCGTGACGGCGCTCCAGCGACTAGGCGACATTCTCGAGGACCTCCGCCTGAGCTACCAGAACTACGCGGACCGGTCGACCTGGGTCAAGGACTGCGACCGCTCGGGCTGTATACTGTGCATGCGAACATTCCACACGCTTCGACGAAAGCACCACTGCCGCATGTGCGGCGACTTGATCTGCTCCGACTGCAGCGTCGTCAAGATCGTCAACCTGGCTGTGATCGGGTCGTCCAAGCTCAGGCTGTGCAAAGTGTGCTGCATCCGCGCAAAGTCAACTCCTGTCGTACCCACATCCATGCCGGTCTCGATCGGCCATGCCTTTTCGCTGGAGAAGGAGGGGCTGTCCGCCATGGACTCGGCCCGGTCGAGGGGCTTTACCAACCAAATGTCGTTCGATTCAGGATCGCCCGTGAGCCCGAGCCAACTCAGCAGCTCCGAGTACGACAATGACGACATGCGGATCGACCACTTCTCCACCAAAGGCATGTGCGGCGAGATCATGCGGCTGTCCATCACGCGCCTCACTTCCGTTCCCCTGCATGAAGACCCGCCCAAGCAACAGCAGGTGCGAGAGTCCACGGTGCTGCTCACCCCTGCAACGCCACCGCCCGTGCACAAGCGCCACATCGAGCACATCTCGTTGAAGCATGCGTCCACTGGCAGCTTTAGCACAGCAACCCGCGAGAATTCGTTCGAGTTGCTGTGTGATTTGGCGTGCGAAGCTCTCAACTGCCCGATCGCGGTCGTCTGTCTCCTGGACGGCCCCAACGAAAAGGTCAAGAGCTTGGTCGGCCTCGACAACAGCGCGCTCCAGATTGAAATTGCCACGTTTGTGGACAAGGTCATGGGGCTGTCCCCGATCGTGGTCCTCGATGCCGCCGCGGACAACCTGTCCCTCGCCATCTTCGACCGTGTGCCCGTGCTTCGGTTCTTTGCGGGGTGTCCGATCTTTGGGCGAACGGGAAAGTACATTGGGTACATTTGCGTAGCAGACACCCGCAAGCGCACGCAACTCGGGTCGAGCTGCGCGTTTACGATGGAGCGGCTTGCGTCGCTCGCAGCGACCACGATGGAAGCGCACAACACATCGGCTGAAGTTGTATGTCCGGCGCCGTCCGCTTTGGGAGACTCGACCGAACTCAGGATGCGCGATCTCCTCCTCAAGTCGTACATGACGCAGCAGCAGATTGCGACGCAGAACATCATGCGCTAAGTGCCAACTTCTCAATCAATGTGCCGTCTGTTCGGGTGTATGTCTTGTTATGGGGTCGTGGCGAGGTTGGGTCAAGGTAGGGCTACCGTCTACTGCGAGTTGAAGAGCTGGTGGCATCGATTGCAAGAGAGGCGAAGTGCAGTAGCACTTGTGGACCTGCTGCAGCTGCGCAGCACTAGAGCGCGCCTCAGCACATTCGAAATTCTCACCGCTGTGGTGGCCCATGAACAAGTTGTTTTGCATGGGCGCAAGACACTCTGGTTGATCTCGTTAGACGGGTTTGCCAACGACGCCCATCGCTCAGTTCCACGCGGCTGACGGCTTGACTGCCTCGGCATGGGAGGTTTGGTCGGTCTTGGCGCTCTAGGCATTTATGCTCCCGATGACGGTGCATGGGGCCATGACGGTCTGCCGTACCATGGGAGGAAGTGCGCTACCTGCGAACGAAGTCACACACAGTTGAAAGAACTTGGCTTGCATTTGGCGAAACTCGGCCAGCTCCTTTTGCAGCATCGTCGGGCGCGCAAGTTCATATTCCTTCATTTTGGCCACCATGATCTCGGTGGCTTGAGTAAGCTTGGTTTGGGCCACTTTGAGCTATGGCGGATGTACAGAGCAGGCGGTCACGGTGGCGAGAGTACCTTTTCATCTCGTCGAAGGACGTCGGCGGCCTCTCGACTCTCACGCGCCTTGCGCAGCTTGCGCACGGCCGAATCGTAGTCCAGCTTGAGGTTTTCACGGTGTTCGAGTTCTTTCTGCCGTAAACGTCGTGGGGTAACCGAGCAAGGTTTGTGCGCACCTTGAACTGATGGAGTTCATCCAACTTGCACTGGACATCCACGATGACGTTGGCGGATAGCATCGAGCCCTAGGCTCGATCGATGTTCAGCATGGTGTTGACAAACGACCAAGGTACCGCGAGCTCTCTCGCCGTCGCGTCGATGAGTGCCATGGACTTGGTAAAGTCGTCCCCGCCACTCGTGGTCTTGACGCCGTATGCCTGGCTATGGATGGCGTCTCTCGTCGCGAGGTCCGTTCGGATCATGGTCATGTCGTCGCCTAGTAACGTGCATGCGTATCCTAATGCTGCTCGCGCCATTCAGAACACACGACTGAGGGAAAACAACTGTGCCACGTACAGACTAAGTTGGTGACAAAGCTCTTCATGTGGACAAACACGTGCTCGACGTTCGATGTGAGCTCAAGCTGGCGGTCACGGAGCACCTGATACTCGCTATCGTCCGAGCAATCGGCCTTGCCCATCTTGGTCAGCGCCTGCTGAATGAGCCGTCGCTTTGTCGACCGGAACTTGTCGAGGATGCCATGTGGTTCGTGGGTGTGGATGTGGGCGGCCGTGGGGGACGTGGGCTGGTGCATGCTACTCGCTGGCTCGTTGTCGTGTGTGTTCTTGGCGGTGCTGTGGATGGCACGTTGATTGAGATGTGGTTGACGTTGTGTCCGTCCATCCAACGGCGGGAGAATTCACTTGGCGTTGAACCTCATCGACCGAATTGTCGTAACTGCCGTTTCCATTCGAAACGGCCCCACGCGGCCGCGATAGTCCGAGGCCGTGGCTCGTCGGTATAGGAGGGCATCGACAAGGCTGACCTTGCACGTGTCCCTTTCATCTAGCGGAGACGGTGGAGGTGGAGCCGTCGCAAGTTGCGACACCCCGTGATGGAAGCTACTGCCTCCACTGACGATGTCGTTGGTGCCTGCATCAACAAGTCGTGCCGACGATGGCCGTTTGGCCCATCACGATGGCATCCAAGTACTGTGTGGATCATGGATACGGTACTAGGGCGGCGGGTGGAGCTCGAAAACACACGTGAATTGGCTTGATTCCGTGGGGAGGTGACGATGTGGGGACTACTCGTGTCCATCGCCGTCCTGGACGGCGTCATGTCTGGCGAAGTGCGAAACGAACACGGTATCGGGTGCAAGTGCATGCGAACCACGACGGGACGAGAAGCGCTGCATCCGATGAGCGGAGATTCCAGCGGCGACAACCTCGTACCCAGCACGAATCGGCTGCCGTTGTCGCTGGACTGGTGCAAGGACGGCTATTGCGTTCCATCCTGGAATCAGCACATTCCGTCCTACTGCGGGTCATGCTACGTGCACGGGGCTTTGGCGAGTGTCCAGGACCGCATCAAGATCATGAACGCGAAGCGGGGATTCACCGGCCCTGACGTCATGCTGGGGCGCCAGAGCTTTCTCAACTGCGCTTATGGCCATGGGCTTGGGGAAGGATGTGCCGGGGGCGAGCCCGGCGATGTCTTTGAGTTCATGAAACGATACGGCCTCCCCGACGAGACTTGCCTGCCGTACAACGCGACGGATTTCACCAAGTACACGTGGACGGCCAACGGGACGTGTCCTCCGGAAGGGTTCTGCATGAAGTAAGGCGCGGCACTTGATGAAACCTCTCATCGCATCCATCGTAGCTGCATGTACACGACCGAGAGCCCGGCAACGCCAGTCTGCTTTGCCGTGACCAAGGTCGTGCGGTACAAAGTGACCGAGTACGGCTTTATTCGCGGAGAAGACGCGATGATGGCAGAGCTGTTGAACGGACCCATTACGTGCGGCATCGCTGCCGCCATCGACTTTATGGAGAACTACACAGCGGGCATTTACATCGATCGGTCGAATGCAGTCGACTTGGACCACGACGTTGAGATTGTCGGGTGGGGCGTCGCCGACGACGGCACCAAGTTTTGGCACGTGCGCAACTCGTGGGGCTCGTACGCCAGCCGATGGTCTTCCCGTCGGTGTACGTCTGACGCAGTTGTAGGTATTGGGGCGAAAATGGCTTCTTCCGCATCGTTCGAGGGGTCAACAACCTGGGCATCGAAAGCGACTGCGTCTATGCTGTGCCAGACGTGACGATGGAAGACATGGTGTGGAGTGAAACTGCGGTGTACGGGGGGTCGCTCTACGGCCTCCGACCGCTGCATGGCGGCAATGACGTGAGGGACTCGACCACCGACGTCACTGTGAAGCTCTCGTCGTCAACGTCGCTCCCGGCAATGTCGTCCCGACCGCTTCAAGTGCAGTCAAGTTGGACAGCGCTTGCGATGGCTGGCATGGTTGCAGCTGCCGTTGGCTTTTTTGCTGGACGTGTGAGTCGACGCCGTTCGTATCAACGCATTTATTGACGATTAGCTTCCCCGATCGTCTGCATGGCAGCGCGGAGCAGCCTTGACTTGAAAATCCATCGTGAACGTGTGTGCCCGGTGGACCAAACGTTCACTCGGATATGATGCCGACCATGGCCACCGAGCTCACGCCCGCATCGACTAGAGATCAAAGCAAGCGTTGGTGCAGCACACTATGCGGAAACGTACCATAGATGGTTTGCCCTGTAATGCCGCTGGACAAATCGCCGCACAGAAACGCGGTGGTGTTCGCAACTTCTTGCGGCGTGACGTTGCGGCGTAGAGGAGACGTCTCTGAAACGACCTGCCTCATTTTGGACATCCCTGGGATGCCACGGGCAGACAGCGTGTTGATGGGGCCAGCGCTGACTGCATTCACGCGGATTTGGGACTCCCCCAATTCCACTGCAAGGGCGCGGCAGGCCGCTTCGAGAGCTGCCTTGGCAGGTCCCATGCAATTGTAGTTTGGAACTGCTTTCTCCGCACCGAGGTAGGAAAGCGCCACAACACTTCCACCGCTCTGAATTTTAACGTGCTGGAGTAGAGAGATCAGCGAGATGGTGCTGACATGCACGCAATGGAGGAAATCGGCGGTTGGTGTTGCAAGGAAGGGTTGGGTAAGCGCTGCAGGTGATGCATACGCCACCGAATGCACGAGGCAGTCCAGTCGAACTGCTTTCGTGATCTCGCGCAGGGCCAACAAGTCTTCACATCTCGTCACGTCGCATGGAACGTGGAAGAGTGGCGCAGCAGGCAACAACGCCAAGCTAGGTTTCGCACGTTCGTACGAGGCCGGAGCTGAAACGAGGCCAACATTGCAACCATTCGACTGCAGCGCCGACGCAATTGCAAAAGCCAGCGAGTTCTTGTTTGCCAGGCCAACGACCAGCGCCGTTTTGCCCGTCAGCCCCAGCCCACCTCCAATGCCGCCCATGACACGTTGTGGTAGTAAGTACAGCACATACTACTAATGGAATCTACAAGCTGATTGTCTAGTAGTACTAATCAGGAGCTACTAGCCCTTACACTGTTGCAACAATGGCAGCTCACGCGGCGGCAGTCGCGCCGCCAATTCCGGCGCAACCGCACAATGACATCTTGTTCTACGGGACCCTTGATAAGCGACGTAAGTGTGACGCTCTTCTTGATACGACTGCAATAACGACATGCTTAGGCGACGGGGCCGTGCGAGGAGGATGGGTATCGGACGCGTCCCTCGACAGTATTGCATCTTATGCGGGTGTAGGCAACGCGGCTGTTCCTGCTGACGCCCAAGTGGCTCGTGTACTTCCGCCATACGACCAAGCAGGACCTTTTGGGGGAAGAGCGCGAGCGAGTACCGTTGTTCACGATTACCAAGGTATGGACCTTGGTGGGGACGTCTGTGACACATTCGCCATTAGATTCGAGTCGCCCCTGAAGGGGAGATTGCGCCGGCTGCCATCGATGTCCCGAACGAGTATTCTTACATCGAAATCACGCTGGATACGCCTGGCAAGACCCTCCTCATGCGCACGTCAAAATCCGAAGCGATGTCGAGTCAACACTGGGTGACAGTCATCGAGAAGCAGCGGCAGCTTCTCTTGAACCCGAACGCCATCAAAGCTTCCAAGCCAGCACCAGCAAAAGCATCGTTGCAACTGCCTTCGTCGAGCCATCCTGAAGAGAAACCCGATCAGCGTCGAGTGGCAATGGTGGTTTTGGTCGACGACTACACCGAACGCGACGAGTTTGTTGTGGCCAAGTCGGTCGAGTTTGGCAGTCAGATCAACTTGGGGCTTGTCAAGCAAGGGGGCGCGTGCATCATCGTGTTGGACGACGGTGCGATTGCCCGAATCGGCACGCAAGCGCTGATGGGCAGTTGGGATGCCAACGAAACTTGCTGGGTCGAGTGTTTGGGCTCATCGACGTGGACCGAAGTCGAAGTGTCAGTGGTATGCCAGGTCGTCAAGCAAAATCCCATGCCCATGACGTCACTGTCGTCGGTGCCAACGAACAGCAGCAAGAGCAAGGAATGGATCCGCATGGCCGAAGAAGGTGGCGAACGTCGCAGTCAAACAGGACAGGTCGTGACAGTACATGGTTTCTCAATAGGCGCGAGTTTCGGTTATCTCTTGATGGCGATGCTGGTGCACTTTATGTTGGGGGTGCAAGGGTTCCATTGGTCGCATAAAGCTTGTTTGACGGCCGGCGCGGCGCTGGCCATTTCCACAATCATGAACAGCACCAACGCCAAATCCTCGAGGTGCGGTGATGCAGCGTTGGCAGTTTTGTTCACTTGTTTCCTATAGAGTCGGGAGACCCATCCGTCGGATGAACTCTTCCCTGATCCCGAAAGTGCACTTGGCCATGACTGTCCATCGATGCCGCCGCCATCAAGGTCCAGAAAAGTGATGCGACGGCGAGGTTTGGAATCGATCGCCCATGTCCAGAATACTATCAAGAGAAACGTCAACGCTCTTTCATTGTTGCCAACGTCGTTGTTGCATGCACACAATAGCCATCCGTCTATCCGATTCAACACGAATCGCAAACAAAAAGTGCCGGCCACCAGATGTACGGCGGTGAATTTGGCGGCGGGGTGCCGCAGACCGTGTGCATGCCCGGGGTGAATATCCAAACGCTAAAATGCCGAGCAACAAATTGTTCATGACGCGCTAAGCGAGGCGCACCATGATTCGATTTTGACGATATCACGCCACACGGTCACTCTTCCAAACACGAAATACGTCCGATGGGCACCCAATCGAATCCGACGAAGTTCAAAACTCCATGTATTCGTGCATAATGCGACTTGTCGTCGGCGACATCGTGAGCTCTCGAAACAAAGTTTCGAGGACGACCGATTTCGACGGGCCGGTCGCATCGGGGACGTGGGCCCGGAATTTCGTCGTTACAAAAGCGATTCCGAGCATGAGCTCCATGAGAACGTCGTTGTCAAGGCCGAGCAAGACGTCGCGGGGAATGACCGAGCAGCCAGGGAACGCTATCCTCCACATCTCCGTGAACCGATTCTCGTCTACGATCGAGGTGGGATTGATCCTTGCGATAGTGCCGGCGGGAGCGTTGCTCGACGTATTCACGAGCACGTGTGCCTTGTCGATGGGGCTTTGCACATTCGAGTGCTGGAGGTGCTCGAGGTGTTTGGAGCGCTCGCGTTCGCGCAACGACTCTTGCAATGCCAGCGCCCGTCCCTCTGAAAACGAGCGCGACCTTTGAGCGGGCTGTCGATTGTTTGAAGGCAACGACCGTGACGAATACGAGTGTTCGGGGTGAAGCATACGCTGACGGGATAAAGCATTCCCACTCGCGAGGGGCCGGCCGCGATACGAATTGGACCGATGTTGAGTCAAGGGGATCGATCCCGATTCACCGATACAGGCAAACAGAACAGCGTCGTCTGGGAGGTCCAGTACCCGCCCTGGCATCAAATTCCACGCCGAGTCCAGACCAATTCCGTCGCCCGTCACGTCAAGAAGTTCGTACTCCCGGACTTGAAATCGCTTGCGGAGGATGTTCATCAGCACCTGCGCTTCAGTGCCTGGAATGTACGACACCATCAGCGACTGGTGTTGGAGGCTCGGGCTTTTGACAGTTAGAGTGCGCCGCGTTCGGTCAGCGTACTTGTCGGAAAAAAAGTTGAAGTTGAGGCGAAATGGGAGCGGCAAGTGGATGGACCATAAATGCACGACGCATCGGTCGCACACGCGGCCGACGTCGGCTCGGTCCAGAACTTGCAAACCGTCGCTCAGTATCAATCGACTGCTCGAGCACTTGCTGCACACTGTGCGCTTGCACAGGCCGCACCGATGGCGCCAGTCAAAAAACGAAAACAGTTTGTTGCACGTCTGGCAGATTTCCGGTTTGAGAGCCGTCATATCCATCGGTGCGGGCTTGGGAACCGGTCGGTCGGGCAGGGAATTGCCAAGCAACAAATCGAGTTCATGGGTTGACAAGCTATTGGCGAGGTACAGCTTGCGCTCCTCGACCATCAACGCTTGGAGGAAACCTTGGTTGGGAAAGCACACGCCGCGGTTCGAAATGCAGTAGTTTACACTGGTCACCAACGACCACCGCTGCGCACGCATGACGTAATAGATGGCCAACGTGCACGACCGCGAGATGCCTTGGGTGCAGTGGATTAGGACGCGACTGTGCTGCACCTACGTGCATCGGACAGACGTTAGTGCGACAAACGCAACCTTCTTGGTCGAACTACCTGCTTCGCTGCTTCAATGAATCGAAACGTCGGTTCGAAGTGGGCGGCAATGTTGGCGTGAATATCGTCCTTGATCTTGACCTCGTGGTAGGCCACACCGGCTTCGTCAAATACATTGTTTGTGTCCAAACTCGCGTTAACGATGTGCGTGATGCCCAAGTTGCGGATGACACTGGGCGACTGCGCGTGCCACATATTGCCGAGAAAGAGAAAACTGTCCAGGATCTCGTTCGGATAGTTTACGTTGTGCGTCCCGCTTTGCGTCCGCGCCAACAAATGTCCGTTCTCGTCATCGTTGGTGAGACTGTTGAACAGAAATCGTGACGTGTAAAACGGGTATCGGAACTGAAACGTCGTGAAGCCGTCGTCCATGTATCGGACGCTCGTGACGAGACCCTCGGCCACGAGCAGGCCTCCCAGGACGTACAGCCATGGCTTGGACTTGGTCGAGATCTCTTTCAGTGTGACCTTGACGGCATATCCATAAATGACGACCTGCACAGCCCATGACACACACCAACGATACCAAGGACGCACCTCTCGTAGCTTGCGCTTTTTCGCAGAGAACAGATGTGTCTGCTCTGGCAGCAGTGATTTTTGTACCCCGTCCAGCGTTTCCATGGAAGGGTTTGTCGGCGCAGGCGTCGAAATGGCTGTGGGGATGCAGTCGTCGTCGAAGTCGACTCGACTGCGCGCATCCAGCAACAGCATACCGGTGCCAGACTGCAAGCGGTTGAACAACCATCGACACGTGACACTGGATTCGGGCACCGTACGTTTACTTGAGCTGTTGGAGGTCGAGAATTCGTCCTGTCTCGCGGCGGTTGAAGTCGCTGCCTCGACCGATTGTGTCTTGTTCTTGGCTGCCAACTGGCGTACTTCCATGTCGTGGATGTTGGAGATTGCAGCAGTCAACTGAGCTTGGCCTTCGCTAGTCAAGAGACCGCCGCGCACCAAGTGCTTGAGTCTGGCGCGGTATTCCTCTTCCGCATACGGTTCGTCAAAGCAGCTCGTCCCATACAGGAGTCGCTCCTTTTGCAAGAGAATGTCCAAGATGGCGTCACGCGGCATCATTTGCGGACGTCCCAGGAGTACGCGGTGGTATGCTTCGACCAGCGGCACTCGCTCTGCCTTCATGATAAAGTACACCACCAGCGTGCAACATCTTGACCGACCGTACGTACTATGCACGAGCACCCGCTTGTGAGCCTTGAGCGCGTCCTCTATGTAAGCTGCAGCCTCATCGAACGCGTTGAATGTGCCTTCTTCGGGGTTTTCCTTGGGAACGTTCATGTCGAAATAGTCGACGTGAGCGAAACATCTCGTTTGGATCGTGCTCGAGCAATTGACAACGCAATCAATCGCCATATCGATCACAACCTTGTCGGTTTGAGCATGCATGTTGTTACCGAGGAAGATTTTTCCGCCTGACGTCTCAACGAGACTCACTAGTGGGGGTTCGTGCAGCGGGCTGACGTCCAGAATCAAAGCAGACTCGACAAATTGGATGCAAAGGGCTGGAAGGGTCTCACCGCGCGTCGCCAGAATCTTTTCGTGGACCGCACGCGCGTTTTTATCAAAGTGCAAGGAGGATGCTTCGCTCAGAACGAAGACGTGGGTTACATCGACGTCAGTCAAACGAACGCAAGTCTCCCGATCCAAATGACAGGAAGGTGCAGTGTCATTGTCGGATGCAAACAAAACGGGCAGAGCGAGTTTCGACGTCTTGTTGAGCGTGATGTCCAAGACAACGGACCGCGATGCGCTGTGTTGCAAGAAATTGAAGACGTCGACCGGGGACGCAAAGGCGCAGGGACTTGATGTAGGGGTCGGTATCGCCGTAGGATCTGTGCAAGTGTGATTCCGTTCCTCTTGCTTGGTTGACATGGCTGCAAGGACGCTCAGTGACTGATGATGAGGCAGGGAAAGCGCCTGCGTGCCCAGGTACGTGACGCGATTCGACTGCGTCCGATGCTCGCGAGGTACAGCTCCTCCTACTGTTAGTACTCCTAACACTACTAACTCGATTTAGTACAGCGAGTTGGCATACTAAAACAAAAGTTCATCGCGACATATGGGGTCATATTCTGGTGAGAATTGAAGTTTTTTGCACAATTTGACTGTTCGCACAGCACAACGCGCACTTGCGGCGGCAGGTGCTATGGACGTCCATTGCGCCATCGGCTCAGTTGTTTGGTGCACATCACGTTGCGCTATCGAATGCTGCGGCGTCATGTATTAGCCGAGAAACAGCTTGAGTTGTGACGTCTACGATGACGTGGCTAAATTTAGGAAAGAAGTGGCTGCGAGTGGCAGTTCTGTCATGGTCGCGGGCGCGATTGAAGGAAGGCCTGTTGAATTTGTCGAGTCGGGGAAGCCTAGAAGTGGCCGTGTTGTGTCGTTCAGTCGTGGTGACCAGTCCTGCGTCGTGAATTGTGGCGACGGCAGTCCTGTTCATTTGGACCTCACGACCGCATGTGCCAAGGTTAGTACCAAAGTCGTTCACGTCACTCACAGTCGGTTCAGGTGATGTACGAGATTGGAGAAATGCACGAGTCTATCGTGGCAGAATTCGTGGGCTGCACCATCGAGCTCGATGCTCCAGCAACAATTGGGGTATTGAAACAGCACGATAAGGACCTTATGTGCTCCTTGGTGCGCTTCGACGATGGGACAAAGGAGTGGCTTGATCTGTCCCAGCGCAGAGTGTGCCTAGTACTGGGGGTGAACAGCGCAGGTTGTCACTCTTTGGATGCAGTTTCGTCTCAAGCGGAAAACGACGGCTCGATCAACTTGGCATTGCCATTGGAATCGAGGGCGGGCAAGACACCGCGTTGTAGTTGGTACCAAGAAGGTCATCACGTCGAATTGTACGATTCCGTCGGGAAATTCCAAGAAGGAGCCGTCATTTGTTCCTGTGACGAACATGCGGGCAGTTTGGTTGTGGCGAACGAATCCAGGGGAAAATTTGAAATCGACATCACCACACAGCCGCACAAACTGGTGTTGCATGGCTTCAGCGTTCTCAAAGACATCCCTGTGGACCACATCGTGGAAGTGTACAGCACGACGAAAGGAGGGTTCCGGCGAGGTACACACCCGTGCACCCCATCCGAGATGAGTCGAATTGCGTTTGTAGGATCGATTTTGAAGAAAGCCGAAAGTGGCAAGTTGATCCCAGTGCTCTTTGAGCACTCTGAATCTATCGAGTGGGTGGATCTCTCGTCGCAAACGTTCAAGGTGGTGTGTTTTCCCAAGCAGATCCGACCGCTGTCGGCGCGCGAGCGCCAACTCTCGGACGATGCAAATCGGAGACACGCAGACAACAACGTGCACGTGAACTTGGCCATGTCCTATGGCCAGGACAGGATAAACGATGGCTCGGTATTCCGTTTTCCAAACCTGCCCGAGGGCACTCAAATCGAAGTGTACCACAGCGACAAATCCGTCTATGTCAAGAACACTGTCGTACGCCAAGTGCATTTGCGTCCATACGTGTATGAGTTGCATGCAACGACGACGGGAAGTCGATCTGTCGTCGATTTGGCCGCCACGCGATGCAAAGTATTGCTAAAAGACTCAACGGGACTTGATTTGAGGACACTCGTCGCGCACGTGATTGAGGTGTTTGTCAAGGAAGAAAAGCGCGTGGATGCGGGGCGAATCTGCGGTTGCAACAACAAAGGGCGGATGTTGCAAGTTCGTTTTCAAGGCGGGCGAAAGGAATGGATTGCCCTGAGCGCGAGGAAGCTCAAGATTCGATTGCACGAAGCACCCATTGTGGAGCCACTGGTGTTCACACGTGCTCGAAGCATGGACAATCAAAACACTGACGACGATGCCGCTCGCAAGACGCTGCAGAGAAGCCACAGCTATTCGATCCCACAGATTCAAAATCCGCCGTCGCCTCACCCCGTCCGACGGTCTTTCTCGTCATCCAACATGATGATCGTGCGTTCCCCGGTGTCTCAATTGAGGCGGATGAAGAGCTTTCACAACCCCGGCGACGCTGGTCCTGGTCACCCCGTGCTTGCTCGCACCAATTCGATGGAGAGCTTGGACGGGTACACCATCGACTCAGCAAGGACAGTCGAAAGCTTGGCCGAGTCCGATATTGCCGACCCTCACGCCGAATGGAGCATGCAGATCGACCCGTCGTCAAACCAAACATATTACGTTCACACTCCAACAGGCACGAGCCAGTGGCATCCGCCCCCCAACGTCGATGTCCATGCCCTTCAGTGGATCGCGACGGACTCGATGGAACAACACCACGTCGATCACGACGCTCCCATCGTCCATACCCCCATCGGTCCGATCGAGGCAGTTCGGCATATTCGAACGACTCTGCACAACTAGGCAATTTAAGAGCGTGTTCAAGAGTGCTGTTCGATCTAGCAGGGCTCGGTAGGGAACCACCCGCGTTTGTGTCGGAGGTCATCGGCAGCGTTGTGAGTCGTTGCATCCGGCCGCAATCGACATGCCAAATGTGTCTAGTGTTTTGCTTCGGCATCACTTGCATGGGAGTGGCAACATTTTGACGCTGCTTTGAACAAAGTGTGAAACCAGTCCGTAACGACCGAGATTATTTTGGACTTGCCGTGGACGGTTTGAAACTTCCGGCTCCAAGTCGTCCTTCCCGCTGCCGTCGACCCCCGCCTTGCCTTGCTCGTTTGTGTCGCCGCGGTACACACGTCATGACAGGGAGCAGCGCAATGTCTGTGGCAGACTCGCACATTACTCGGTACTGACATTTCGATTTCTTGGTGGGCGCCTAACAGCCTTCTGTAGAGCGTCGCTGAGGACTCTGGACAAGGAACGTATACGGCAAAAAGCGCTGCAAATGAAGATGAAGGAAAAATTGCGCATGTCCATGTGTGTTCGGATTCAAAAACTCGCCAAGAAATCTCCGCAAGTGGCGCAAAACTTGTCGATCAACATCCTGGCACATCTTCAACAGAACGCTTTGTCCACCCAAGTTTCTGTACGTGTGTTTCGGCTGTGGTGGCCTCGGATGATGATTGATGTGTGCAGGACGACCAACTCGTGGCCCTCGTTCGTCAATGGTCGCACCAGGCGTCGCAAACCGACGGCGAGAAACCTTCCTCCAAGCACGGCGCGACTGGCATCGACGATTCCCATCAAACAGAAAAACCTCGCAGCAGGAAGGTTAGCAAGACGACCCCCCATGCAAGCTCAAGGTGTCAAGTCAAACATGGCACGGGCATGCGAGGTTGATGGCATGCACGGCGTAGGAGTGCGAAATCGGAGTCCCAAGGCGGAGACAGCCCCTACACGACAGAGGCTCAGCTACAGCAAAGAAGCGTTGGATTCGTTTTGCCGCAGAAGAAATCGCCCAAGAAGCATAAACAGGGCGACATTTGGAACGATCTCGTGCAATATCAAGGCCTGGTCGAGGCCCAAGAAGCTCAAATCAAGGTTCCTTGGGTCGTTCGAGAAAGATTCGGTCAAGTAACGTGGTGCATATCGTATTTCTGTAGAGAGTTGAAAGGGAAGCCAAGAAGTCGCAATGGTCGAGCGAGTTGGAAGCTCAGATCGCTGCCAAACAGTTGCGGCAACACGAACGCTCGGTGGAAGATGAAAAGTACTTTGAAGAGAGCATGAAGAATTTACAGCGGCTCAATGAAATCGAGGAGGAAAAGGAACGACGACGCATCGAACGGGCAAAGGAGCAAAACGTGATCCAGGAAGAGCAGCGGCAGTTCAAGCTCAAGAAGAAGCAGGAAGAGCTGAACGCTCGAAGGTAGATTGCAATGTTGCCATGATGCCACTGGATATTTACGTACCTCTTGCAGGGAAGCCGAAGCGCGTATGGCTGAAACAATTGCTCGGCAAAAGAAGGAGGAGGTACCAAGACATGGGTGTGGTCGGGTGCGATGCAATTGCTTGCTATAGGAAGCGAAAGAAATTGCTCGAAAGGAAGCGGAAATGAAAAAAATGGCCAAAGTGTTGCTCGAAAACTCCGAGCAACTCAACATTAAGAAGCAGCTGAAGCAGGCGGATCGGGAGCTGGAGCTCAAGCTCGCGGAAGACTACATTCGCATGGAGGAGCGCAAGGAAGCCCTGCGCCAAAAAGGGCTCGAAGACTTGTCCATGCGAATTCAGGCGAAAATGAAATTCTTCGACGACACGTCCAAGGCCGAAATGGACATGAAGAACAAAGAGGATGAGCTTCGCGTGCTGCGATACCAAGCGGTACGAACCCGTCGCCACGGGAGTGTGGGTGGTCATGCCTTGGATTGCGCAGGACTACGAGAAGAAACAAATGGAACTCGAAGCGAAGAAGAAGCACGATGCCGCCGAGCGCAACCAGGCGCAACAAGAGTACTTGAAGGCACAGATCAAGCTCAAGAAAGATCGGGAATCCCATGAAAAAGAGTCCGTGAATGCAATACAGGGCAGGTCTGACTGCGCTGCGTGTAGAGAGTACAACAAACAAGCCGACATGTGGCGCAACGAGCGCGAGGCGAACGAGAAGAAGGAGCGATTACTCCAGCAACAGCGTGCACACAAAAACCAAATGCAGCAAAATTGGCTGAAGCAGCAGATCGAAGCCAAGGAGCAGCAGTTGCTCAAGGCGGATCACACCAACTTGGAAGTCCAGATCAATCAGAGCTTACTGCAAAAAGTCAACGAGATGAAACACAGCGATGCCGTGTCCACCGTCGCAGGCAAGACGCGGCAACGATCCCGCGAACTCCACGATGTCGAGAAGCGAACGGATTCGCGCAAGTTGAAAGACCCGCGATTAAAACCAACCACGCGAAAGTAGATAGACAGACCAATGTCCGACCAGATAAAACGATGTATTTCTAATACGCGTCCGCGACTGCTCACCAAACGTGCCCGAGTGGAATCCAAGACGCTCTCCCACGGCCACGTGCCACAGGCGTTGCGCCTATTTTTGCAGCTTTTCAATGTAATCTCCCAGCTGGGCCAGCGCTTTGTCTCGGGCTGGATTGCGACGACTGGATTCTTTCCACGCGACCGCTGCCTCCACTGTCACAATGTGCCTTTCAATAAGTGCAGAGAGCAGGGGCTCCAACTCCTCTACAAGATATCGTCAAGCAAAACAACACACATCTAGGCAGCGCGTTACCTGGAGGTACGTCTTGGACAATCCCATCGACGAGAGCCATCTCACCGTCCAACCCCCCAGCTAAACCCACAAGGAGTTTCGAATACGGTTTCCACGACGGCAAACTTAGCAGAAACAGACATGCTTGCTTGGTAAACAAACTGTTCGTCCGCATGGCACCTCGCACGTTCGACTCCACCCACTGGACGACCTCGTCGACATCTTTGGAGTCTTTTGCAAACGCGTAAACTTGTCCTGCGGTGTACAACGCAGGCAGCGCTTGGTTCAAGTGGAATTTGTTGGCCCAGTCCATCACGTCCGACACTGTTCGGGTATGCTCGGGAAAAATCGACGTCAGGTTGATGCTTGTAAACGCGTTGGATTGGGCTTGGGCGACTGCCGGTGGGACTTGGGATAAAAACACTCCAACGATCCCACACAGTAGACCGCTGTCCACGAGCTCTTGCAGGGCGTCGGTATCCCCGTGAATGCCGCTGATCAACCACTCCAATGTCAACGATGGGATCAACTTGAAGAGTCGAGCGATGATCGAACCCAAGTGTTGGTTGATCTTCGGAACATCGTACACAATTTCAGGGGCAAACAAAATAACCGATTCCAATCCGTACTTCACTGCATCGGCCTCCAACTGCTTATCTTCAAACAGGAACACCAAAGCGTCAAAAATGCCTTCGCGAGTGGCGTCTTTGGCCTCGACTGCCAGCTTCAGGCCTTCTTTGACGATGAGGCTCGACACAAGGTGCGCCGACACAGCTGGGGCTTGGCGAGTCTTCAACTCAACCACACACGAAGCAACTTCTTTCGTGTCCATAAGTGCGACATATTCTTCCAGGATGGACTTGGCATTTTTCGCGATCAAGTCCTTGGTATCGTCTGAGACTTGGGCAAGTTGGTCCGCAATTTGTTTGACAGGCGCCGGTTTCTCGACAACTGGGGGGCGTCCACCAGAAAGTCCCTTGCCCTTCCCCACACTAGCGAACGAAGCAGGACGTCCTGAAGCATTCGGCTTGTCAAATTGTTTGGAACGAGATTTGTCCAAATTGAAGTTGCTACGCGGGGGTGGTTGGCCGCCGCGCGAGCTAGGCCCGCTACGTTGGCTCATGTCCCGCGCCGAAGTCGACGACACAACACCCCGCGTAGGCGGGGGGCCACCGTGTTTCTTGGCCGCACTCGCAAGTTCCTTTTCGTAATCCTTGCGCGTTTCCTCGAGTGTTTTTTGCTTGAGTTCTTTTCGTCGAGGCTCCCACCGATTTTTGCGCAAATCAATGACGTCGAGGATCATGAAGTTGATTCGAGACGACAGCCGTTTGTCTTTGGTCAAGTACGTCAAGTAGTTGAAGTATTCGACCATCGCGCCTGGGTACATATGCTGCGCTTCGAGGTCTTTTCCCATAGTGGTCAAGAGTTTCGACAGGGACTCAATACTCTCCTCGTCGGGTGCAGCTTTAGGGTTCAATGGAGCAATCTTGTAGTCTTCTCGATTGGGGACTCGCATCACATTCAGCAGCTTCAGGATGCACGCGTGCATGATGCGCTCTTGCAGCATACCCTTGCGAAAGAGCTCACCAATAAATCGAATGTTTCCCAGCATGCGTTGCTTCGTCAGCATTTTTTTCTCTTCAAAGGCGGCTTCGAGTTCGGCGGTTAACGTGCCGTCCTCACGGGCTTTGTCCTTTTGCTGCTCCAGATCCTCGTAGATATTGTCCTTCTCAAACTCGGCCTGGCATGCATTGAGCAGAATCCGCTTGAACGTCGTCGACTTGATTGCATTCAAGTTGGCTTCTTCCTTTGTCGGAAAGGGTCCATTCAGAACTTGACTCTCCCCGAGGTCTTCGACATTTTGGCCAGACCAAAACAGTTCGCCGTTCAGTTCCCACACTTTAATGAACTTGCCATTTCGAACGCGTACTTCCTTTAGCTGCATTCCTTCGGGGGCAGTCATGACGTCCGTGGGGTCGTCCTCGGCGTTCTCAAACAGTTCTGCCTCGGATGTAAATGGACCCACAACTTCTGCGTCGACATCGCTCATTGTTGTCCACGACCACGTGTTCGACTCCTCGTGATGGACTATTTGCAAGAAGCTCCACACTTGCCAGTGCTGCTCCAACCGTACGCACAGGTTCGCGTACATCTCGCAAAAGTGCGGTTCCCCCAAGGCCTTGTCAAAGATGATCTTGATCACAGCCTCGAGCATTTCCATGCTCTCCATGTCGATTTCAGTCAATTGGCCCGACAGAACGTCGAACTTCTGGGTCGTCATCTTGTTCATGATACTCTGGACTTGCTTCAACACCTTGTCCAAGTTCGACGTTGCCTTTACAGGCACCCAACGATCTTCGCGGCGCTTGAGTGGCACGTCGTCGTCGTTGAACGAAGGTTGTTGGCGCATCTTCCCACCGCGACCGCCGCCATTCGCGCGGCGCGAAGTCGTAGTATCGCGTCCCCACTGCTTTGATTTATCTAACGTGGAGCCATGATGCTAGGGCGTAGTAGAAAGATATGCGTTGGTACCATTGTTTCCCCGACTGCTTTGGCGTTGCAATTGGCTAACTGGGGGGCCTCCAGAGTTTTGGCGATCAGTGCGTCGACTGCCGGAGCGACCACTTGGTCCATCACAGGTGATCTCCATGTTCAGCCAACCCGTAGCCTCAGTTGCAAACTCTGGGAGGTCTGGGTATTCTTCCCGAAAGCTACCAATCCACGTTAGACAATCTTGCGACCATTGCTGCAAGAAGCACCTGAAAAGAAATTGAATGGAGTAACGCGTTTTGGCCTTTTCCGTTTTTGGGGTGTCGTTTGGGGGCCGTTCAGTCGTACGCTTTGATTTAACCACCGGCTTGGCTTCAACTTCAGCCTCAGGGTTTTCGTCTTGGGCGTTTTTCTTCGAGGCGTCGAATCCAGGAGGCAACGACACGTTTTTAGGAGAAGCGGTAAGGATGTCCGAAGCAGGCTCGACAGTCCCAAAGACGAGGTTTGGTTCGACAGCCTTGGGAGACAATACTCGTACGGGTGGCTTAACAGCAGCAACTGGAGACATGGGTTGTTGCTTTGGAAAATCAACTTTCGGGGACGCCACAGGAGATTTGGGGGTGGTTTTTGGTGAGTGCAAAAATTTCAGCTCCACTTGTTGTGGTTTCGGTGAATTTTTCGGCGTGTGTTTGGGCGAATTTTTGGGCGACGCATGAACAATCTTGGGTTTGGGCGACAGCACTGGTGTCTCGTGAATAGGTGACGTTGGCGGGATCGGGGGGCTCACAGGGGTAAAGGTTGCTGAAGGCATCACGAATTCTGCAGATGTCACACGCAGCGTCGATATGGACTTTTTCGTGGTTGGCGTGGGAGTTCCTTTTTTGGAATCAGTTGCAAGGCATTCATTGATGGGCTGCTTTGTTTTGGGGTCAACAATGAGGAGGGCTTTCTTTTCCCGCGGGGGGGGGACGACTGTAGGAGGAGGGACTGGAATCTGGCCACTCAATCCGATCGCGGGATTCATTGCCATGTTAGGCACTGGTGGGTACGGCAGCGGGCTTTGGTTCATGTGAGGCGCATACATAGGAGGAGGGTTCGCTCTATAGCCACCTAGTAGCACTGAGCTTCTTCGCCTTGGCAGTAAAGTGCGTACCTTGAACGTAGTAAGGAGGTTGTTGATAACGGGGATTGTAACCAGGTTGGAGCGGCATTTGAACTTGCGGTGCGGCTTGCGGCACAAATGCAGGCACATTAGGATTTGGGGGCCTGTTACCAGGACGTGCTCCAACTTGCTGACTGTGATTTGCACGACCAAGCCCAGGAATTTGATGCTGTTGAGGATTCAAGGCAACATTGGAGTCGCCAACGTGAGCTTGGTCTCGTGCAACATGGTGGTGTTGAGGTGCTCCTTTAGGGATAAATGGCTGTCCAGGCTGAAACACTCCAGGTACTAATTCGGGGGGTACGCGCGCATGTGGCTGAAACGAATGTCCATGGGAACCTAGGTTGTACCCACCGCGTGTAGCAGCTGGGTAGCTGGGTCGGTTGGTATCAACGACATCTCCAGGTGGTGCGGAAAACGTGCGGACGGGGAACTATAGCAAGGACGTGAGGTATATGGAGTGCACAGCGCACGGTACCTGATTGGATTGAATGTCGTCGTTGTCCCTGCCTCCATGCCCTTTCTTACGGTGAGTCCCACCGAGACCGATGAATCTTGCATACCTGGCAACCTATGGTTGACTTGGTGGGGGGCGGACATTGCAGCTGCCGCCTTTGTACTTGATGTTTCTTGGCCTCTTCTTCGGCGGAGAAGGGTCAGTTGTGCGCACTTCACAATTTCCTGACTTATCCGGATAGCCCCCACAACCGCACATCGCTTTCATGGATTCTACTAGTAGTATAACCTTACTACTAGGAACTTACTACTGTACGACAACTCACTGTCAATCGCATGACCGCCAAACGTGAAGGCTGAGGAAGGTCTGGACGGGAGTCATGTTCTCCTGCGTTGCGCATCAAGAGAGGAAACGGGTCAAGCTGACGTCTATAGCTGCCCTACATCACAGTGCAATTTCATGCTATATATAGTGCACTACACGAGGTGCTAAGAATACTCGCGACATCATCGTCCCCAATCCACTTGATCGCGTGAAACAGCGCTTGGTCCCAAAGAGAATGCAAAGTCCCATCGCTGACAAAGCGTACAACAAATTGAATCGTTAATGTCCAAGAGAACTCTCATGCTTCGCGCACGGTAGGAGAGCAGCAATGCCACAAACGTTGACGTTGGATCATGTGTCCCCGGCAACACGTTTGTTGGAGAAGCGGCGGCAAATGTTTGAAGTCCAAGAAGCACTCGATGCCCAAAAGGAAGAGTTTTCCCGCCGAGAGGTGTGAAATTTCTGATGATCCAAACCGTCGACTGTTGCTGTGTTCAGGACGCATTTCGTCGGCGCGAAGAAGGCCTTCGCAAGAAGGATTTGGAACTGCAAGAGTCCCTCATCAAGTTCAACAAGTTTCTACAAGAGAATGAATCGAAACGAAACCGGGCAATCAAGCGCGCGTCGGACGAGATCAAACAGCGCTTGGCAAAAGAGCAGGACGTTGCTCGCCTGAAGGAATCCCTCGAGCGGTTCAACGAAGAGAATGAAAAGCTCAGCAACGAGGTAAGCGGTGTGGCGTGAATCGGTCGTTGCGTCACGAGTACGCCAGGTCAAGAAGAACATGAAATACACACGGTACTTGGAGTTGGTGCAGGAAACTGTGCCGGAAGACTACCCTGAGATCATCGACTTGGTCAACCGGTACAACACGCTCAAGGACGCGAATCGCGACCTGTCCGAGAACCAGCAGCTGCACGAGCGAGACAATGAGCGAAAACGGGTCAAGTTTGCCACGTTCACGAAGGAGCGGACAAACGATATCCTCAACTTCAACAACGAAATCGCATCGTTGCAAAAGCAACTTGAGACGCGCGAATCGAATGCCATTCGATTGCAGCACGAGGTGGGGTGTTCCCGGTCAGCTGCGCACACTGACCGACGTGTGACTTTTCTAGGTCGACACGACGATTCGAATCACGTCCGATAAAACACTCGAAGTCGGCCAGATTTTGATGGCTGTGGGCAATTTATTGCAGAGGTCGACGTGCGGAATTCACGGGACCATCTTGAAGCACATCGAAGTAAAGGATGTGCTCGCCCCGAACGAAGAACATGGACACACCGTTGGGGGCGACCAAGACAAGATCGAAGACTTGGAACTATTGCAGAATGGACGCAAAGCCATGGCGGACTTGGATGTGATAGCGTCGTACATGGTGGATTTCACGGCAATCGTGCAAACTCGGATCGAAACGCAGAGGGCGCAGAAAAAGGCCGCGGCAGCCGCGGATGGGGCAGTGTCAAATGGCCCAAATGTGGTGAGCACAAAGCAGGAGGCAAAGCAATAAAATTTACAAGTCGGATTATTTCTTCCGCGATTTTTTGGCATCTGAGAAGAGACTGTTCAGTTGAATTTCACGACGATGACTACATCGTACCTTTGCTCTCCTCCACAACCGTTTTTAATCGCTTGCTTCGAATCTGTTTCACATGACGAGGTGTCAGCATGTGTGTATCGAATCGGCGGCGCACCTTGGCATATTTCACATTGTCGTTGTACGTTGTAAAATAGCTGTCGATGCGGGTTTGAGCTTCGAAGCCACGCGACACAGCGTGCACGACTGGAATGAGTTTCGAATTCACTTTTTCCAGTGGCCATCCAAATACTTGACCGCAAAACACGCGCAGATTTGCCAAATCAGGTACAGCCCAACTGAACCGCGCAGTGGACTTGTCGGTGTTGGGGTATCGGTATGCCTTGACCACATGAGGGTTGGGAAAGATGTCGCTGACGTTCCAGTTGCGGCGAATGGTGTGGTGAGTACACTTGAACCGATCCAGTGGACTCAGAGCAGATAATTCTGCTGGCGTGAGCTTCTTTTGTTTTGTTGTGGCTTCGAGGATATCGTACTCGTTTACCCATTTCTTGAACTAAGACTGAACATGAGAAGGAGTGCATTGGAATGCCGAATACCTCGCCCAAGCCGTCCAGTCCACCAAAGGCAGCAACTATTTCAGCTGCATTTACGATCCCGATGCCGTTAATCCCATCCGTGTAGTCGCTTCCGAGCAAGAGAGCCAATGCAATCTACTCGAGTGCAGCCCATTCAGGACATACTGCATGTCAAGGTGAGCCTTACAATCCGGTCTTGGTCAAGCCCCAATTCTCGCTCGAGGTCAGAGGCGAAATAAGCTTCCACGAATTTCGAATCTTTGAACATGTTCTTGTAGACTTTCTTGCCACCAAACGCGAAAATGTCACTACATCAAATCGTCATTTTGCGGATTGCGTACAACCATACCTATCGTCTGTGATGATTCCTTGGACAAGGCCGAGTTGCTCCAGCGTAGCGCACTGCGCTTCAGCTTCCATCGGGCAAACCAAGAACGGCACACCAAACAATCGAAGTAGATCCATCACTTGGTTCTTCATCTCGTCGGTCACTCCATCCACATCGCGCAACTTTTGGTTTCGAAGCTGCCTGAGATCAGACTCGGACTGCGCTGAGAGATCGTCCAACGAGTTGGGAATGTCGACGTCGGAGGGTGAGGCACTCAACACGGGCTCTGGTCGCAACTCCAGAGTGGCAACACGTAATGGCGCCACTCGAGGCAGGTATCGCATCGCGTCTGGATCCTGCAGCTTGGACGGGCTTTCCACTTGTTGGTTTGCTGCTGCCTCGAACTGAGTTCCCAATTGTTTATGTGCCAAGATGGCTCGTTTTACAGCACCGGCTGCCCACTGGCTACTCACAGGTGAACCCATGACAAGTAGGTGGACCATCTTACGTAAGATTTGTGGCGGTAGACATAGCGGCTTGCAGTGCACTTGTTGTCACGTCGTTGCCCCCTTCATCTTCCGAATCAACGCGCCCTAGCTCAATCGAACGTCCAATCAATTCGCCAGTGGAATCAAATCTCTACGAATAAACTTGGTCAGTTCATGCTTGAGAGAATTGTTTCAACTTGGTCGTTGGCAGGGGTTGCAACAACATTGGAGGTCGCTCGGTCTTGTTCGTCATGTTTCCAAGCTACTTGGAAATGCATCAGCTATGGTGACTTGGACTTGAGTGGCCTACCAGAGTCCGTGTTGTCGTCTTGAAGGATGGATTGAACATCATCGATTTTATCTATACACACCATAGAGAGAAATCAGCACGTCCTGAGTCGTAAAATTTCCGACACAATTCTCCATGGCATTTTTCGCAATGGCAAGTTCATTGATGAGCCTGCACAGGATGCTGCCTACCCAACAGTTCGACGTTCTCGGAGGTTTCGACATCTTCCCACTCTAGAATTGCACGGTATGAGGCCAAGCTCTTGTAAACGCACGTACCAATGTCGGAGTCCTCATCGGACGTGCTCACTTTGATGAGCTCTTTGTCCTCCACTTCCGTTTCTTCCACGGTATCCGATGTCGGTGTGGGTGCTGTTCGCGTAGTAACCGCAGTGGGTATTGGAATTCGTGGAGTTGCAGTTGGCGTATCGGCAGATGGAGCTTGGAATTCCAGGGCTCCCTCTGGATCGCCTGCACACAGCACTTCAACTTTCTCAGGGGAGGCACTGCCGTTTAAAGGTGTCAAGTCGATCGATCTCGTGCTGGTGGGGACTTCCCCGCCCGAAAACCAACTTGGATGCTTGGTATCGAGTTTGATCGGACTCCCGTAGGTAATCGAATCTCCTTTCTTCGCAGTAGTCGAGTCGTCATCGAGGGATTTGACTGACCGGATTTCGGATTGCACCCGGACATAATCCGAAGAGAAGCCGACAGTTGTGTCTGATGCGTCCAAGAGATGATTCGGAGTCTTCGACATCGCAGATGGGGCTGTGCTTGCTTTTGAGTAGACGTATCGACGGCTGCTCTCACTGGCAATGCGCCGTCCACTTTCGGGTGAGTCATTGGCACTCTGCCGAGCGCTCAACTCACGTTTAAGTTTACTTGCCTTCAGAAACGTGCTGATTTGAGCCATTGAATACTCCTCTGGCTTGCCTGCCAACGTGAGGAACTTTTCACGAGCATCTTGGCGCATGTCGCGTTGGTGGGCTTCAAAGCTCTCAATACCAGGCAACCCGGTCGAGTCGTCGTCGCTTTGGCTTTCATCATCCTTTTCGTCATATAATATCGTGTTGTATAGAGCGTCCTCAATGGCCTCATCAGCATGCGGGCGGGGCTCTTCGGACACAGAGGCAATTGTGATTTTTGAGGTCCTCTCGCGTTGCTGTTTGATCAGGAGCTTCTTCGCAGCTTGTGCGAGGGTATCTTGACTCTTTTCTCGTCGCGATCGACGCTGTTGTAGAGTTTTGAGCTTGATGGCTGGTGTATCGCCATCGAAAACGAATACAGGACGTATCCCATGAGTCAGCAATTTCGATATACGATGGAATGTGCCGAGAAGGTGCGCATTCCTCAACATGGTGCCATCCTCTGGGTCTCGCATTGCCTTGACAAACTGCGTAAGCCAAATGCTCGCATCAACTGCTAGTGTCTGTCCACTCAAGCTCTCCATTGAAACTTGTCGCCCCCCGGGAGCAAGTAGCATCCACAGCCCTGTCACTCCCATTGTTCAGGACGATTGTTTCCCAGATA